GGGGTATAAATAATAAATCATCATCATCATTATTTTATTAAGGTTTTTTGTAAAAAAAAATCTTTTGACCCTCACCAAAGGCTCATGACAAACTTAGCCCTCCTGAGTTAAGAGGTCAGATCAGTAACTGGTTAAAGAACAAGAAAATGTGTGGGAAGAAATGAAAAGTTGGGGGAGTTGAGCCACCTCACTGCTCAGCTCCTAGATAATTTATTAACAGATTTTTTAAAAAGTGGGGGAGGTCAATACAAATCCTTGGGGGCCCTAGTTCTTACATCAAAAAGTTGTGGAATACTATTCATTCTCTTTCTTTAAGTCTGCAATTCCCTGTCATTGATCAGATGGCAAACCTAGAGTTTAGCAGCTAAGGAACAGCCAAGACATTACCAGCCAGGCCTGTGCAGAGCTCGTCTGAGGCCTGGGGCGAGATTCCAAGGTTAGCTGGGTAGCATGAGATGTTCTTGCTATGACACCATAAGTCCGGCAGGCCCCTGGTGCCCCCCCCAGCTGTCTCAGCCCCCTGAGGGCCAGGGCAAGTGCACCCAGCTGCCCCTTCCCATCTGCATGGGCCTGCAGCCAGCCTTTATTAGGTGGCATATTAAATGCCAAAATCTCGTAAACAGAGAACAATAAAGGAGAGTAGATCTCCACCCAGCTACAGCCAGGTGTATCTATAACATTTAATCCTAAACAGATTAGTTACAGACCTAATAGGCGCAAAAGGTTTACCTGCTGAGCAGCAAGCAATCTGAGTTAGCCTCACATTACCTCTTAAGGATACCTTTGCTTTTAGGAAGACAGCTGCAGTAATGAACTGGCCTGTGTATTAAACAGACGACTGATCTGCATGGTCTCTGAGGAAAGTGAGAGAGAGATGCAACAAGAGGTTGGAAGACCGAGGTTTGTATGCCCTGCAGCCTGGCTTGTCCCCTCACCTGCCCTCAGGATCCAGGCCTGTTGCCATTGTTGATGTTATCAGTTGTCAAGCCACTCAACTTCTTTTTGTGGAATTGGGCAAGGGGGTGCCAGCTCATCCTTTGCCTCAGGCAACAAATATATTGGGCTCAGCCATGTTTGCATGTGTGCAGAGAATTACGGAAATATACAGATATCTGTGAAAAATCAATTTCTTTATATATCAACAAAAAATGAAGACCGGTCATTAAGGATAATCAGATGCTTTGAAGGCCTTTCCCAAAGTTAACATCATGCATGGAATCACCTATGGATGTCAGCATTTTTGTTTGAAGTCCACAAATTGCTAAAAGTCTGCCTGAAAAGTCACAGAATGTTGTCCTCAAAATCTCAGCTGAAGACAAGGAAACCTTGTTCTGAGCACTACAGAGTCCACAGCACTGCCAGTTCGATAAGTCCTCTGTTCCAAGTAGCACTGTAGAAGGATTAGTGTGGATTTGTGTGATTATGTAAGCAGCTGGATCTTAAACCTTATCTATTTTTAAGGCCTCTCAGCATCTGAGTCATATTTGCATCATTTTACAGCAACCTCAAAAAGTCCAAGCACCAGGCATTAGCAACTTAACGGACACAATGACAAGATTCCTGTTACCTGCCAATACACTATGGTCGCAGCCCTGCTGCAGAAATCTAGGATGGCAACAGTTAGTGTTGTTTTATAAAATCACCCCAGACACTACCCAAAATGGTTTGTTCTCCAAATACGTCCCCAGTGGAGAAGACAAAAACTGTAATCAAAGGCCATTTGGTTGTGTCATAGTAAGAGACCTCAAGGCTTAGCATGGATCCTTTGTGGAAATACTACTTGAAAAACTATAGCAGTCATCTAGGAGATACATGGGGACACGGGTGGCACTGTGGTCTAAACCACAGAGCCTAGGGCTTGCCGATCAGAAGGTCGGTGGTTTGAATCCCTGTGACAGGGTGAGCTCCCATTGCTTGGTCCCTGCTCCTGCCAACCTAGCAGTTCGAAAGCACGTCAAGTGCAAATAGATAAGTAGGTACCACTCTGGCGGGAAGGTAAACGGCGTTTCCGTGCGCTGCTCTGGTTTCGCCAGAAGTGGCTTAGTCATGCTGGCCACATGACCCGGAAAAACTGTCTGCAGACAAATGTCGGCTCCCTCGGCCAGTAAAGCGAGATAAGCGCCGCAACCCCAGAGTTGTCTGTGACTGGACTTAACAGTCAGGGGTTCCTTTACCTTTACCTAGGAGATACATGAGCTCATTTAAGCCCTGGACTGTGTTGCATCCACAGCTACCTTTTTGGGGGAAAGTTCCCTTGGATAGCTTCTAGATCCTGAAGAACCTGAGAGCCACACCAGCCTGGTATGTTGTGTTTTGTAAATGTACTCTGCATTATGTGATTGGTGCAATAATAGTGCATTAGTAGCAGATTTATACGGGATGATCCACACACCATCCTGCTTTGTTAGTTGTTCTGCAATGCTTCCCCAGCGTTTAACATATTATTGATGTCTGGAGGGACACGCTCGAACAACAAAAGTAGGACACACACACACATGCAGAGCCCAAAACATTTGAGGTACGGAAAGGTTGCAGAATTTTAGCAGGAAGTTACAGGACATGCACCAAGTGGAAATGAAGCAGTATGCCCACCTTTTGGAGGTGCAGGCAGCATTGAAAATGTGTTTGTGGATAACTGCCCTGATACCAACATGAGCACAAATAAGCATAAATGCACAAGGTAAAGGATATCTGGAGAAGCCCTGCACACCTGTTAGCTCAAATTTTGCCCTTTGGATCAGTTACCTGCTACTCAGTAGCAGGTAAGTTGTTTGTCCTCCAGGTCTAGCCCAGTGCCCCCGGCTCATAGCATGGCTGAAACAGGACTGCAGCAGACTGAGATACAAACTGTATGTTTTGTTTTTTTCTATATAAAGCAGCCTTGGAGGAAAGGTTTGAGGGGCTGCCTTTTGCTTTTGTTTTCTGTTGTTTGCATACTCAGCATCGTTTTCTACAAGCTATTTTTTTCCAGGAGAAAAAAAGAACGAATTGCCTGTACGTTTTCCTCAACAGGGAGAATAGTAGTTTAGGGTGGGCAGTTCTGAGCAGACAAACGATAAGATGGGTAAGATTTAAGCAGCCCCTCCTACTCTTTTCCTACTCTTAGACTGGCAGCCTCGGAAATTGCTTTCCGCAGCTCATCACCACCTGTAGTTCGAACCTTGGACAGCCGCTCTTGTAGAAAGCAAGTGGATTCCTAGGTAGATCTGTTCATGTCTGGGCTGGGCTGCTGCTGTAGTTACAGCTAAAACCCACCAGATGTCAGATACATCTCAACCGTCTAAACATCTCAACAGTTGCTGACTGCTGACTGCTAGGAGCCACTGCGGATAATCTTAGGGACCACTCGATAAGGGCAAATTGCGCAAGGAAGGGGGCTTGCTTGCAATGTCAGATACGACAGTCACATAATTTTGAAGCAGCTTTTTATATGTGAGGATTGTGAAGAGGGACAGGGTTTAAAAAAATCAAATCACCCCTTCTCTTAGGTAAAGGTAAAGGGACCCCTCACCCAGTGGCGTAGCGTGGGTTGTCAGCACCCGGGGCAAGGCAAGTAATTTGCGCCCCCTAACCCCCAGATGTTGCGCCCGGTGCGGCCGGCCCCCCCTGCACCCCCCACGCTACGCCACTGCCCTCACAATTAGGTCCAGTCGTGACTGACTCTGGGGTTGCGGCGCTCATCTCACTTTATTGGCCTAGGGAGCCGGCATATAGCCATGTGGCCAGAATGACTAAGCCACTTCTGGCAAACCAGAGCAGCGCACAGAAACGCTGTTTACCTTCCAGCCGGAGAAGTACCTACGGTATTTATCTACTTGCACTTTTGACGTGCTTTCGAACTGCTAGGTTGGCAGGAGCAGGGACTGAGCAATGGGAGCCCACCCCGTCGCGGGGATTCGAACTGCCGACCTTCTGATCGGCAAATCCTAGGCTCTGTGGTTTAACCCACAGCTCCAGTTGAGGCTTATTCCAGCCTAAGTGGCATGAAATCTGAAACAGCAAGTGCTTTGTGTTTACCCATTTACTAACTGAAGGGATCTAAAAATACAGTAAGAACCACTTTTGTTAAATATTTTATAAATTTTGTATCAAGATCGCCATCAGGGTTTTTTTTAATGCACTTCTCAGAATGTTAAAACACTGTAGTGCATATCCAAACAATATGTGGGAATCTGACCGATTAGCAGCAGTGACAAGGAAGCCTTACATTATGTACCCCTGCCTGGTCATTTTGGTCCTCGTGAGAGCTGTGTTTAGTAGTGCTGTGTACCCATGAGGTTCTTTTTAAGTCCACTAAGCCCAGGATATTTAGTGTTGTGGCACCTGGACTTTGGAATGTACTTCCAATGAAAATCAGGTTTGCACTTAGTGCTGACATTTTGGTTGTCTGCTTAAAACTCACCTGCTCACCAAGGCTTTCCAGCAGTGTTTGGTGTATTAAATTGATCTACAGCTTAGTGTTGTGTGTTTTCTTCTGTTTTGTTAACATATTTTTATTACTTTCATTATACTTTTTCTTAATGGGACTATTACTAGGAACGTTAGCTCAAGAAGCATGAAACTTATAGGGAGAATAGTTAGTTATTGAATTTGTATACTGCTTTATCATTCAAGCAATCTCTAAGCTGTTAGCAATCCCTAGGGATGCCCTTGGATCTGTCTATCAATGTTTAATGTTTAAGCTTTACTTGTCTTGAGGTTTGCTAATCCTTCAACACCTCAGTAATTCTTCCTAGTCCCTCCCAACTTCATACAGAGGAAACCAAATCCAACAGGATTTTCTCTTCTTAACCCAGTCATGAAAGGCAAATGGATGGAAACAAGACTAGTACCATTTTTGTTTGTGCTGAGGGTGACTAGTGTTGGTGTAGCACTGACATCTGTTCTTTGTTAGGAGGAGCAAGCATATTTACACTTCTTCTAATGCATTCTGCTGCTCTGTGTACCTTCATTGACTTTCCAAACTCTGCTCCACCCACCTGAAGTCATGAAGATGTCAAGTCTCTGGGATGGTTCAGTCAGTAGAACATGAGACTCTTAATCTCAAGGGTGGTGGGTTCAAGCTCCACGTTGGGCAAAAGACTTGTACTAGATGAGCCTCATGGTCCCTTCCAAGCCTACAATTCAAAGATTCAAAGGTCACCATTCATGCCTCAAAAGTCCCATTCAAAGTGTAGGGCAAGATAGCACACTAACAGATGTCTTCAGAAGCCCCTCTCCCAAAGTGCTATTTTGTGTAGCACTTTGAACCGGGCTTCTGAAGAGCTGACAACCAGCTACGAAGGGGCTGTGCAGGCAACCAGCTGATTGGCAGTGCCTGTCAACACTCATTAAGCCAAGCCCTGCCCTTGCCTGTCCCATAGGTAAAGGTAAAGGGATCCCTGACCATTAGGTCCAGTCGTGGCTGACTCTGGGGTTGCGGCGCTCATCTCGCTTTATTGGCCGAGGGAGGCTTCGGGTCATGTGGCCAGCATGACTAAGCCGCTTCTGGTGAACCAGAGCAGCGCACGGAAACGCCATTTACCTTCCCACCAGAGCAGTACCTATTTATCTACTTGCACTTTTGACGTGCTTTCAAACTGCTAGGTTGGCAGGAGCTGGGACCGAGCAATGGGAGCTCACCCCATCACGGAGATTCGAACCACCGACCTTCTGATTGGGAAGTCCTAGGCTCTGTGGTTTAACCCACAGCACCACCCGCATCCCATACCTGACATCATATACAGCTCAGGGGCAGAACATTCGCTTTATGTGCAGAAGGTCCTAGGTTCCGATTTGTTTGCAGAGAGGTTAGATGGCAGCATTGCATCAAAGCAAGTGCCACTCCACTGTTTCAAATGCATATTTCCATCGCTTTCCTTATTGCAAAAAGTCTGATCTTTTTGCTGGGGAGGCCAGTTTGTTGCACAATTAGAACCGTGCAACCTGAATTTGCCAGGATGTGACTGAATCCCACCCAAAAATAGCAACACTTTGGAAGCACCTCACTATAAGGCAGCTTGCTATGTTCGTTCTGAAGCATCATTTGAAATAGACCTGAGCAACTGAAATCAAAAGTACTGCGTTTGAGGATCTCTGTGTGACTCATGGAAACACTGAGAGGGAGTCTCCTGAGCTGCCAACTAGACCAATCTCTTTGGAAAATAGGTCAAAATGGTTAAGGAAAGCTAAACAAATAAAAGGCAAGGCTGGGTTGCATGGGCTCATTAGCATTTCAAAAGGTGCACACAAAGCAGGTTCTTCTCTCCAGCATGCTTACTCTGGCGAAAAGGTATTAAATGTAAAGCTCTTTTTAGATTTAGGATTGTGCTGCTTTTTGTTTGTGGTGTGTTTATGCTCTTAAATGCTTTGGGGATGGTACTTTTGCTTTAGCGCTGTAAGCTGCTCTGAGAATCTGCTTTAAGGGTAGAGCATAAACCCAGGAAGAGGTAAGATGGCATAATGAAGATCAGAAGGATCTAAGGGCAAAATTAAATCTTGCTTTTGTAATGGTCTAAGAACAGAAAACCTCTTTCGCTACTCATAATCCAAATCTCCACATACACAAACAAAACCTTCCCGGAGGTTAAAAGCACCTCTGACTTTCAGGATTGGAATTGACTTCAGCCTCATCTGCAAACAATTCTGACCAGGCTCAGCCTTTTTAAAAAACAAACAAACAAACAAATAAAAGAAATTCTTATTTGAGCATGGAAGTATTAACCACTGTACAAACATACAACTCATCTTACAGTTCAGATTGAATTTGTTTGTTCATAACACATAACAAGATCACATAGATTTTCAGTGTACCAATACAATCAAAGCCATTAATTCATATCCCATAATCCCCCCCCAAATAATAATCAAGCACACAGGTCTCTCCAGAGCTAATGCTAAAATCACCAATCCCAAGGCTATCCCAAGGCATCTTAAAAAGCAGAGACATCACCTTGCCAACAAAGGTCCGTACAGTGGTACCTCGGGTTAAGTACTTAATTCTTTCCAGAGGTCCGTTCTTAACCTGAAACTATTCTTAACCTGAAGCACCACTTTAGCTAATGGGGCCTCCTGCTGCCGCCGCGCTGCCAGAGCACGATTTCTGTTCTTATCCTGAAGCAAAGTTCTTAACCCGAGGTACTATTTCTGGGTTAGCGGAGTCTGTAACCTGAAGCGTATGTAACCTGAGGTACCACTGTATAGTAAAAGCTGTGGTTTTCCCAGTAGTGATGTATGGAAGTGAGAGCTCGACCATAAAGAAGGCTGATCACCGAAGAATTGATGCTTTTGAATTATGGTGCTGGAGGAGACTCTTGAGAGTCCCATGGACTGCAAGAAGATCAAACCTCTCCATTCTTAAGGAAATCAGCCCTGAGTGCTCACCAGAAGGACAGATCCTGAAGCTGAGGCTTCAATACTTTGGCCACCTCATGAGAAGAGAAGACTCCCTGGAAAAGACTCTGATATTGGGAAAGATGGAGGGCACAAGGAGAAGGGGACGACAGAGGACGAGATGGTTGGACAGTGTTCTTGAAGCTACCAGCATGAGTTTGACCAAACTGCGGGAGCCAGTGGAAGACAGTGTGCCATGGGGTCACGAAGAGTCATACACGACTAAACGACTAAACAACAACAACAACAATACCCCCCCCAAATAATAATCAAGCACACAGGTCTCTCCAGAGCAAATGCTAAAATCACCAATCCCAAGGCTATCCACTGTGCACACCCACACCCCAAGAAGCAGAATAAGTTAGGAGAGAATAGAAACAAAATTTGGAAAAGTAGCTGCTGGTGGTTGCTTCTTTCAACCCATCTCCCCTTATCTCTCTTTCTTAGTGACTCAGTTTCCAGGGAAGGCTCAGCTGTCAAGAAGGGAGGGGAGATAAACAACAGGTTGAGAAAGATACCCAGCAGCTCTTCCTTTAGTGGGTGTGTAAGTTGCGATCCCACGATCCAACCTTCTCTGCCTCTTGGCAGAGAAGCCTCAGCAGATAAAGGTGGCATGTAGAAGAAGAGGAAGAAGAGTTCGGATTTGATATCCTGCCTTTCACTCCCCTTCAGGAGTCTCAAAGCGGCTAACATTCTCCTTCCCCTTCCTCCCCCACAACACTCTGTGAGGTGAGTGGGCCTGAGAGACTTCAGAGAGGTGTAACTATCCCAAGGTCACCCAGCAGCTGCATGTGGAGGAGCGGAGACGCGAACCCGGTTCCCCAGATTGTGAGTCTACTGGTCTTAACCACTACACCACACTGGCTCTCATGAGATAGGATTGCATTCATATAGCAAGTATAGCCCACTTCTGGGTAACCTAGATAGATTGTTGAATTGCATCCAGGATGGTGGTAACAACTGGTATTCTGACAAAGATTTTTTTTTTAAAAAAAATGGGCCACTGGGCAGCTGCACAGTAAGTGGATATGAACTTTTAAAGCTTGGCTGCATCTTCATCAGTGATTGTAACTAATGAAGCCTCTGGGGACTCAAATTCTTGGAGAGCCAGGTTGCATGTGTTCCCAGTGGCGTAGCGTGGGGGGTGAAGGGGGGGCCGGCCGCACCGGGCGCAACATCTGGGGGTTAGGGTTAGGGGGCGCAAATCCACGGGTTAGGGGGCGCAAATCCACGGGTTAGGGGGCGCAAATTACTTGCCTTGCCCTGGGTGCTGACAACCCACGCTACACCACTGTGTGTTCCTATTGGATGAGTCTTAACTTTAGGTTTCAAATCCATTAACTGCTATTGAGTGAGGACAAGAGTGTCTGTCCTCACAACCTGTTCGATCCTTGGTTCTCCTGCATCGCCCAGGTATTTGTCTAAGTGTACCTCACCCTTCGGCCAAAGTAGGAGGACAAAAAGGCAAGGAAGGCTGAACACCTCAACCTTCAATTAATTGACTTGAAAATTGTATCTAAAAGTCAAGAACCAGTGTAGCGAGCACAGTGTTGGGCACAGATTGGGGTAATCTGGATTCAAATTCTCACCCAGTTAATCTTGAAAATGATCATTCACCCTTTCTCAGGCTTGCCTATCTTACAAGGTCTGTTGGGAGAATAAAGTAGGATGACTTCATGAGCATTGCCCTGAGCCACTTGGAGGAAGAGCAAGGTACACATCAGGTATGAGTAAACTCAGTTTAGCCCTGGGTTCCCCCTTTCTAAAAATCAAACTAGTTTTAGTTGCTGTTGCAGCATTCCCACAGAGCACTCCCACAGAGCTCCTTTGTCTTCTTTCCTAGATTAGTCACAAGGGAGATTCCATCCAGTCTGGGATCACACAATGGATCAAACCATGCACACAAAGCTTTGAAGCCCATCAGATTTGGTTATGTGCTGATATCCCTGAATTCAGGCAACTGAGGGCAAAAAACACAGACGAAATCGCACAAAAACCGCAGATGAAGTCAATGGGGCCCATAAAATGATACCATATATTACAGGAATAGTAGATCAAAAACATGTTTTATGTGCTGTTATTGCTGTAATGTATCATATTTCTCCCCCTATCAAGTTGATCTGTTATATCATTTATGAATTGGGGTATATTTCTGCAAGGAGTGCTAAAATAATATATAATAACAATTATAATAATACAATCATATTTCCAGCACTGCTGCAAATGTTAGCAAATTGAAAATAGTTTTGTTTTTGTCTCCACTTCGCTGTTCCTTTGAAATTCAAGTCATCCGAATTCTTGAATTTGGACATGACTGTGTCCATCCCAAGCAAGGAGATTTGTGTAAATGGAAATATTGAGTGTGTTCTCCTTTTCCAACCCCGATTTAGAGGTTAGGCCTCATGGGGGCTCCTTACTGCAACTAATACCAGGTATTCTTGCCTTAAAAGTTAAAAAATTAAATTGGGGAGGGGGGGAACAGATTCCTCACTAACTAGAAATGACTCATAAGAAAATGGCATGTATGATCAACAAACCATTTTTCTGCAGCTGGACTCTCCCAGGCTGCCTTCACAACTGCAATCATGACTGGAATGGAACCCAAACCAAACAAATTTCCATGTATTACTGGAAATGTTTAAAAAATAATACAGAGGCAGGAAGAACAGCTGGGAGGAAGTATTTGCTTTTGGAATCTGAATTTTGACCCATGCGTCTCCTGGGAGGAATAACTCAGCAGTCTTTGAGGGTGCATTTGTGGGTCACGTAAGTTTAAGAGAAGGAGATGTGGCAGCTGACCATGTGACACCATTTGAATACTAAGCCCTTTTCTTCACACATGCCAACTTACCCCAAACGCAGGTAGAATTGATATGGTGGGAAAATGAAAGATGACAGCTAACTGTGAAGACAATGGATTTTTTTGCGGATTACTATGGGTTAAACCACAGAGCCTAGGACTTGCCGGTCAGAAGGTCGGCGGTTCGAATCCCCGCAACGGGGTGAGCTCCCGCTGCTCAGTCCCTGCTCCTGCCAACCTAGCAGTTTGAAAGCTCGTCAAAGTGCAAGTAGATAAATAGGTACCACTCCAGCAGGAAGGTAAACGGCGTTTCTGTGTGCTGCTCTGGTTCGCCACAAGCAGCTTAGTCATGCTGGCCACATGACCCGGAAGCTGTACGCCGGCTTCCTCGGCCAATAAAGAGAGATGAGCACCGCAACCCCAGAGTCGGTCACGACTGGACCTAATGGTCAGAGGTCCCTTTACCTTTATGGCACACTGCCATGATCATCGACTGGCACAAAATCACAGCATGGAACATGATGAGTTTTTAGGAAAGGCTGCATTCCAATACTATTTCTGCTTGTATGAAGGTCTTGTTAGAATGGGGGCGATCAGATGGCTAAGAAAGCATGGCTGTAATAAGGAGGTGGGCTGGAGAATACACAGGGGTTCTTCCTGACATGCTTCCACTGAACCATGGGGGGAAAGGCAATGCCTGTATTGATTGTAATTTTGTATAAATTGTGCAACTACTGAATCCCTGTTTTGGAAGATTGAGAAAATCCCAATACTTGTCTGCCCCCTTGGCAGCTGCCTCATTGCATTCCTAAACATCAAGAGAATGGGTTGGAGGTAGGGAAACTGCTGGTGCAATGAAGGTGAATACACTCCATCTAGGACATCCAAGACCTGTTTTTATGGCTTCCACATGTTGGCAGTTCCACACACCAGTTGTACAGGGCAAGAGCCACCCAATACCTAGAATCACCCTCACCACACAAAAAGTCTCAGTGACAATGCTGCTTGTTTGTAGTAGTGGCCACCACTGTAGCAACTCTCTATTTGATGTGTTGAGCAACACTTGTGTGTTTAACAGCCACATGTAGCTTCCTGGAAGTGCTTCCAGTAGTTTCCACGTGGTGGCCAAAAGACCTACACCTGGAAATGAAACACATCAGGGTGCACACTTTATTTTCCCTATGGTTTTCCCCATAATTATAATTATATATAAAATTATAATTATAATTTTATTTATATCCTATAGCTTGGAAGTCGAACGCCTTGCCAGTTTTGGCTCCTGAACATCGCAAACCCAGAGGTGATTGTTCCAGTTTGTGAATGTTCTTTGGAACCCAAACATCCGTCACTGCTTCTGTGGCTTCCGATTGGCTGCAGGAGCTTCCTGGAGCCAATTGGAAGCCACGCTTTGGTACCCAAACGTTTTGGAAGTTGAACGGACTTCTGGAACAGATTCCGTTTGACTTCTGAGGTACCACTGTACAACAAAACATCAAACATCAAAAAACAGAATATCCTATACATATCCTATCCCAGTAAGAACTTCAAATATGGGAATCATACAATTGTAGAGTTGAAATGGACCACAAGCGTCATCTAGTCCAACCCTCTGCAATGCTGGAATATTTTTCCCAGTGTGGGCCTTGAACCCATGAACCTGTGATGAAGAGTCTTATGGTCTACCAACTGAGATGTGGGCAAAGACCATCACCTCAGAGTTTGGCCCAGCTGAACACCCCACCCCACACTCCTGAAAACAAGACAATTTGCCACCATGTGCCCTGTGAGGATAATATCAGGAGAGAAAGGGGAGCAGGCAAATAATACATCAGAAGAATTGGATGGCATAGTTGCTGTATTTCTTACTGAAGATGTGATTACTTTGGGTTAAGTTTCCTTTATGAGCGGCATTCAAGTATGAAAAACAACATTTTTTTCATACTTGAGAGACATTCATCTCTGAAATAAGCCGACTCCTTGCCAGTGTCTGTTGAGCTCTGGCAGCAGCAGACCAGGTGTGTGTGATAATCCTGACTTGCAATCATGGGATATCTTATAAAAGTGGCGGTGTATATAATTGCTGTGCCCATGCTGAATCAAGTGGCTTTAATTTTTCAACAGCCTTTTCCCACAGTTCAATCACTTCTTCTCTGCCTGCATGATCTCAATGCATTCTCAGTCATGTTCCAGGAATGTGGCATGCAGCATGATGCATGAACCAAGAGCAGGACGGATAAAAGGTGTGGGGCAGCAATAGAAGCTGGCAGCACGCCTAGAAATCAGGCCCTTGAAGTGGCTGGATCAACACGGTCAACTTCTCAGCCTGATAAATTCTGGTTTTTTAGCTGCTGTCTTTGTTTTTGACGATCAGTTTCAATGCATATTGTTGTTCATTGTATGATCCGCTGGGTTGCTATTATTTTAGTGTTCTGCACTCCATCCTGATGTCTGTACTGATGAAGGGCAGGATAGAAATATTTTTAATTTAATTAATGTGATTTATAGATGATAGATAGATATAGATAGATGATAGATAGATAGATAGATAGATAGATAGATAGATAGAAGTGCTTTTCTTCTAGAAAAAGTGTGCCGGTACTCACCATGAAGTTGTTACAGTAACTGCCACACTTTTAAGCAGTGCTTTTCTTCTACGAAAAAGAAGGTGCCAGTACTGTGTACCCTTGAGTACCCCAGAAAACAAGCACTGGATAGAAAGATAAATAGAAAGGAATTGCCCGGCTGATGTTATTGTCTCTCATTTCCTAATAGGAAACTGTTGGGGCAGTCTTATCTGGTAGGTGCCTTGGGTAAAGTTGCATTAACTTAATCCTATGTAATTGTGTCCCCTTAAGTCAGTGGTGGCCAAACCTGGCCCTCCAGCTGTTTTTGCACTACAATTCCCATCATCCCTGGCCACTGGTCCTGTTAGCTAGGGATGATGGGAGTTGTAGTCCAAAAACAGCTGGAGGGCCAAGTCTGGCCACCACTGCCTTAAGTTCTATGAAAGAAAGACTGCTGTCAGCAAGAGTCTTAGAGAAGCAGCAAAACCTATAGACCACCCCCTAAATGCTCATAAGGAGGAGAGACCACTATCCTTCCTCAGACACACTGGTATCCCTGAATGCTTCTCCTCTCATTCCTAAGGAAATAAGCAAAGTGCTACATTAGGAAACATAGCTGAGGTAGGAGCTAATTCTGCCCTTATCCTTCCAGCTGAGGCTCCCTCAGATGTCTATGCAATAGGTGGATCCTTTGTTTTTAGGAAAGTGTATGGTTGTCATGACCCTCAGAGTCCAGCAGTGAGAACACTGACTTGGAGGCTACAGTGCTACCAGCTAAGGAGCCAAACAGGGTTTCTGGTTCTGGGCCTAATGCTGGTGATGAGGTGACCACTGAATGTGAGGTTGGCGGACAGAATTTCACTGAACCATATGCCATTACTACAGCAGCAGGCTCCATAAAACTGGAGCCACAAGGTCACCTCCTCATGAGCTTGAGAAACCGACTGTTTCCCCACAGTATCTCGGCAGACCAATGGTGCAAGGACTTCTCCAGCCAGAAGGCCATAGAGCACGGAAGAACTGCCCATCTTCAGATCTGATCCTTTCAAGATCCTTTAGTTCTTCACAAGGGGACAGAGCCTATGAGGGATGGAGCAGAGGCAGGGCTCAAATGGGTTCAGTTCACTCCCAACCCTTGTTGGAGAAAGTTTCTCACAAGGAGCTCTCCATGGTGCTGTGGCAACTAACCTGCCTCTGAACTCCTCCATGGGACCAAAAGAGGATACAGTGGTACCTTGGATTACGTAGGTAACATAATTTCGGGTTGCGAACGCAGCAAACCCGGAAGTGTATACTTCCAGGTTTCGCTGTGCACGCATGTGCAGAAGCGCTCTATCACGCCGTGCGTGTACGCAGAAGTGGCGCCTCTGGATACGGACTTTTCGGAGTAAGTACTGACCCCTGGGACGAATTAAGTTCGTATCCGGAGGGTCCACTGTGTTGGCGAGGTTGGAAACTTCCACTGCAAAATATTAGCCAAATAACATAATTTGGATGTGCTGGCTTGGGGAATAAGCAGCTGATCACAGCACAAGATCTGATTGGTCTCCCAGTTCACTGTTACTTTTAGTTCTTGCCAATTTAAACGCTGTTGCTGAGGGAGAGAGTGGCTAAAGATTTTCAGATCCAGTGCAGCAAAATTACTAAGGCATTCTTTCCTGAAATTCTGACAGAACTTTGATTTAGCTTCCCCCGATAACCGCATATAGGATCAGAATGCAAATGGCAAAACCCCCCCACTATTAGTCTGTTGTATGAGGTGGATTATACTCATCATGACATATAATATAATAAGCAACACTCTGGACAAGTATAGGCAACAGCCTTGTCTGGCATAGTCACAGCAATAAAAACCACAGTTGGAAGATCAATGTGATTTGGCCTGCTTTCCATAGGGAGTGTTCTATAAGCAGGTCTTAACGGCACATTTTCTTTTCAAACATGTGACCAATTAATAAGCGGAATTAACCACCCCAGGTAAATAAGACAATGTGTGCCAGCCAGTTGAATTTGCTTCTGCCTCCAGGGTTAGGTACAACACTTGGTTCTTTAAAAATAGATGCAAACCACCCACGCCCTAACTCATGATCACCTGGGACATTGCAGGGCCTTTTTGCTGTGCAAGAGACTGGGGGCAAATTATTTCCTTGAAAATGTTGTTTTTTGAAAAGCAGTACAGTGGTACTTCGGGTTACATATGTTTCAGGTTACAGACGCTTCAGGTTACAGACTCCGCTAACCCAGAAATAGTACCTTGGGTTAAGAACTTTGCTTCAGGATGAGAACAGAAATCATGCAGCGGCGGTGTGGCAGCAGCAGGAGTTCCCATTAGCTAAAGTGGTGCTTCAGATAAAGAACAATTTCAGGTTAAGAACGGACCTCCGGAACGAATTAAGAATGTAACCAGAGGTACCACTGTATATAGATTAATTAAGCTAAATGAATTAAGCCATCTGAATGAACCATGCCTAAAATTCATGGGTGGGGTTGCAAACCTTGGGAGCAGGGGTAGGAAAATCCTGGATTTCCAGATCTTGTTGAATTCTAACTTCAGCCCCAACCAACATGCCCAGGAATGTCTGGAGTTGGAATCCAGAAACATCTGGAGGGCCACAAGTTCCCCACCCCTGCTGTAGAGAATGCCAAATAATCTAAACATTACAAATAATCCTATCAATCAGGAGAGCTGGACTCATAACCATAGACTTTAAGTTAGCAGATGAATAAAAAGTATGCCATTTGGCAAAGAAGCATAGATTTGGGTGAGACATCAGGTGGGCTACCATGATCATCAGGTAGAAAACAAGCCCAGGAAAAGGAAAGTCTAGATTACATATTCCAGGTAGGCAAATTGAAAGGAAGAGGGCAGACTGCTTTAAAAATAGACTTGGATCAAGCCATCTCTGGTTTTGATGGAACGCTTGGGTGCAGACTGAGCTGGCATGCTAACAATACACTTTTCGTAACTCAAGCACATTTCCCAAACCTTTGCAAGTCCTGATTTGATGATAACAGTTATAGTGTACTATCCCAAAACTTTGAATGAGTTTCAATATGTTAGAGAAACCACCCACAATATTGCTATCGGAGCCATGAGAATGGACAAACAGGTAACAGATAGACAGGAAGAGATGGATTTGAGGAAGCATGCTGTAGTTTCCTTGCCATTATTCAATGGTTTAGATTCTTAAATGGGGAATGGACAAACAGTTGGTGAAAAGAGGGGAAAATGAGGCTTTTATTTCGAAGTAAACTAGTATGTCCTAGCTACAGTATGCACTGGGAAAATGTATCTGTACTGAATCATCCCCTACGTGTATTTGACTAAACTGTCACATCTACTTTCTCATATTACAGGGTTTTCCTTAAAATTTTCATTCTAAACCAGAACCTTGCAATTATGAAGACGCCAGGGACGTATGCTTTGTACGTACGTATGAGTCACTTGTTCTCATGGGACGAAGAAGTACCTTCTTGACATGGTGGGAATCATACCATCATTGTCCGATGAGTGTGACTTGTGACAACGTAAGCTCTGATCTTGCACGACATTTTCAGCATGTTTACATTCTCAATTGCGTTATCACTTTTCTACCATAAACAAAGAAAAGCTCCTTCTTTCTGACTATAGCTCTATCTACTGGAATCCAAAAACTGTATAATAAAGTCTTAACAAGTGGAACATTTTGTACAAATATCCAACTGTATGTCAGTGATACAACTGTTAGTAATCCACAACTAAACTGAAAACAACTTCATTCTTTGGTTAACCTTGAATCTAAGCCAGAATTCTGGTGGTTGGGCTTAATTTTAGGTCTAAATCTTCAAACGTCCACTAGAATGTCACAGACTGAATTCCCATCCTAAAGAGAGAAGGGCAACACCACCAAGACATAATAAAGGACGTAGGACCACCTAATGAATGTGTGATGCCAGCCTACATACCTTGTCACCCACCAAGCCAAACATAGCCCAACAGGTGACAGATAAGCTCCATGGTTTTTCAATCCTAAGCAGGCAACAAAAGCAAGATACTTATTGATTCTCTTCTCAGCCTCTATGTATACCTACAACTGATTTGGTAGGTCATACACACAAGCACAAATGTATTCACATCAATTCACATAGTGCTTTGATGTCTTGCAGACCACAGAGGAATTTGGTTAGGTCACTGGTTATAAGATTAATGCTACAAATTTTATTTTTATTACAGAAAAGAATAAAAGTTTATTCAATGTGTTCCCAATTTCCATGTCAAGTAGAATTCCATTTTCAGTATAATACTTATACTCCCCCCTCCCTTAAAATTCTAATGCACAGCTATACAGCTACACATTTTGGGACATGGATGTCAAAGCAGAATGAGAAGACTGGACCCATTTTTGCTCTCTGGGTAGAATGGTTTCTAACAAAATGATAGCAAATATTAATTGTAGAGTCTCCTGTTTTCAGGTTTAGAGAGGAGGAACTCTGAAGGGATGGTAAACAACGATTAATCCTTCTTTTCAAAGCAGTTTTAATGTACTTTGCAAAACAATCAAAGAAGGGAGCCTTGCACCTGCATTTTCATGCGCAAGCTGCCTGAATTGGATTAACAGATGAGTACTATGATCGAGCATCAGGTTCTTTACATAAGATGGAAGCAACCTAACGACATATGGATCCTATACGTCTAGATTTGAAAACTGTAATTTGCTTTATATGGGGCTGCATTTAAAGAGCCTTTGGAAACTTCTCTTGGTCCAGAATGTGGTAGCAAGGATGTGTTGACTAGTGTTCCTCTTTGGCAGGGGTCCTCAAACTACGGTCTGTGCGCCAGATCCGGCCCGCCAGGGTCCTGAACCCAACCTGCCCGCAAGGCCCAAGGCTTGGAAGCAGCTGGGCAGGAAGAGCCCTGAGGTAAAACTGTGTGTGTGTAACAAAGCCCTGGTAACGCGGTTGCTACCGGCAGTGCCGGCTGCTTGCTAACGGCATGCTGCCCTTTTAAGCCGCCAGAGGGTAGGATGGTGGCAAAAGAACCCTTTGCCTTAACCTCCTCCCCTCCCCTCAGGCTGGCTCTGTGATCAACGGAGCAGTGCCTCGCCAGCCAGTTGCCTCCTTAACCTTCACACGGGTCCCATGCGGCAGCCTTGGCAACCTTAAAAGTTAGGGAAACACCAAAAACACAGGCAACATAGGCAAATAGAATTAGCAAGAAGAGAAGTCTGAATCACAACAGTTCATTGTACAAGGGAATCTCCATGTAAATAGTGGTGGGTTAATCCTTAAAATAAAGCTCTCCACCCAAACTACACCAAGTTTGAAAATAAACTTCAATGCAGAGAAAGCCATATGCATGAGGAACAACAACATCAAAAATAACCCAGAAGAAATGAAGTATAAAGGTGAGGTATAGGTAACTATAGTATTACTGATAGTGCCTGTTGTGTGTCTGTTCTGGCTATTATTTTGAAACAAGGTGTTTTTTTAAAAAATACATGAACAAGAGCATGTTTCTGGCACCTCTTTAGTCTGGCTCCCAACAGTGTCTGAGGGACAGTGAACTGGCCCCCTGTTTAAAAAGTTTGAGGACCCCTGCTCTGTGGGATCATTTAAAACCTTTTTACAATAGCTGCACTGGACCAGGAGACCTAAAGGGATATATTTCCCCACCCCACTCTCTCTCCCTTCCCTCTCCCCTCTCCACCCCATGGCGGCTGAAATATGACAGCCTAAGAAATTGGGGGGGGGGTGTTGTGGGTCTTGCCTACACTATGGACCTCCTTGCCTCAAAAGATCTGTTTAGTCCCCTTATTCCAGGAGGTTTGAGGATTGTTAAGGAAGACCTCTTTTTAAGCTGTTTTACCTGCTGTAACTTGTCTGCTTTTTTCTTGTTAAACTGTTTTGTTGTATCATGGCATTATGTTCTTATGATTTGTTTTGTATACTGTTGGATTATTCTTAGTGGCTTCAATTTTGTAAATGCAAGCAGAAGAGTAGGATATAACTGCTATTAAGTATATAAAATTGTAGAGGTTTTTAGGCAGAGGTTTGCTGGCCATCTGTCATGGATGCTTTAGTTGAGTTTCCTGCATTGCAAGTGATGGACCAGATGAGCATCAGGGTCCCTTCCAACTGTTGTGATCTTGCGTAAGTGGGCGGACACCTGTATTAGGAGAAATTTGCACCAAAAATGCTGATGAATTTTAATGAGCACATTAAAAAAAACCATAGACAGATATGGAAATGTTGGAGAACTGGATTTGGAAAATGGACAAACAGAGAAACTGAAATTGAACAGATTCACCCAGCTGATAAAGTCAGGGCCAGCACCAACCTTTAGCATAGTGCATCTGATGGATTCTCTGCCACTAATGACTTCTCATGGTGATGCCACTTCCAGGTCAAGATAAATCAAGATGGCAGACCGAAACATGACTTTGGCATGACTTCACCCAGTCTTTGGCATGATGAGTCTAAACTCACAGATTACATGATCCATTAAAATAACGCAGTATTTTTTGGTCTGAAAAAAATCCTGGGCAGTGTCAAGCACTCCCCGCTAGCTGTATATACTAAAAAATGGGGGAGCATCCCATTTCCCCTTTTCTCCTAATAAACCCTGTATATACACACACACACACACACACACACACACACACACACACACACAATCTGTCTTGCACCTTGAGGACCTATTCCACTTATATCTGCAAAACACTTCCTGCTTTGCATACCAAAGTGCCTAGGGGAACAACTGCACAACTAGGAACACCCCTTAATATCTTGTCTAATGCAGGACTGGGACGCAGGTGGCGCTGTGGGTTAAACCACAGAGCCTAGGACTTGCCGATCAGAAGGTTGGCAGTTCGAATCCCCGTGACGGGGTGAGCTCCCGTTGCTCTGTCCCTGCTCCTGCCAACCTAGCAGTTTGAAAGCACGTCAAAGTGCAAGTAGATAAATAGGTACCGCTCCAGCGGGAAGGTAAACAGCGTTTCTGTGTGCTGCTCTGGATCACCAGAAGTGGCTGTACGCCGGCTCCCTTGGCCAATAAAGCGAGATGAGCGCTCTTGGAGTTTTATGAAGAAGAACCTACAGGGGATGGGGGTAGGCCAAGGCTTTGAAAACGGTATAAGTGCAATTTATTCAGAACAAAAGGCTAAACTAATTGTAAATAATGTAGTGACGGAAGAATTTAAGATAGAAAAAGGGACACGACAAGGTTGCCCAATTTCCCCATTGCTTTTTATATCGGTCCTGGAGGTTTTGCTGAATATGATTAGAAGGGACCAGTTGGTTAAAGGTATACAAGTCGGAGCTAAACAGTACAAATTGAGAGCATTTGCAGATGACTTAGTATTGACATTACAGGAGCCAGAATCTAGTACTAAAAGGGTTTTAGAACTGATTCAAGAATTTGGTCAGGTTGCAGGATTTAAACTGAATAAGTTAAAAACCAAGGTATTAGAGAAAAATTTAACACCGATTGAGAGAGAGAGGTTTCAGAATGAGACAGGTTTGACAGTGGTTAAGAAAGTGAAATACCTGGGGATTAATATGACAGCAAAAAATGGGAATTTATTTAAAGACAACTATGAAAAATGCTGGGCCGAAGTGAAAAAAGATTTAGAAATTTGGTCAAACTTGAAGCTTTCACTGTTGGGTCGTATTGCTGCGATAAAAATGAATGTATTGCCTAGAATGTTGTTTTTGTTTCAAACATTGCAAATTGTGGACAAAATGGATTGCTTCAAGAAGTGGCAGAGAGACATTTCTAGATTTGTCTGGCAGGGCAAGAAGCCCAGAATAAAATTTAAGATATTAACTGATGTAAAGGAAAGGGGTGGATTTGCCCTGCCAGACTTTAAACTTTACTATGAATCAGCAACATTTTGCTGGTTGAAAGAATGGCTGCTTCTTGAAAATACAGACATTTTGGATTTAGAAGGCTTTAACAATGTATTTGGATGGCATGCATATCTGTGGTATGATAAGGTCAAAGCACATAAAGCATTCAAGAATCATATTGTCAGGAAAGCATTGTTTAATGTATGGATAAGATACAAGGATTTATTGGAAAATAAAACCCCAAGGTGGCTGTCACCGATGGAAGCGAAAGCTCTGAAAAGGCTCAATATGGAGGCCAAATGGCCGAAATATTGGGAAATTTTGGAACAAGATGGAGATAGACTGAAATTACAGAGTTTTGAAAAATTAAAAAATAAAGTGCGAGACTGGCTTCATTATTATCAGATAATGGAGGCATATAATTTGGACAAGAAAATTGGCTTCCAGGTGGACAAATCAAAATTGGAAACAGAACTGTTAGAACCCAAAACTAAGAATTTGTCAAGAATGTATAACTTGCTGTTGAAATGGAATACTCAGGATGAAACGGTGAAATCTGCTATGATTAAATGGGCACAAGATGTTGGACATAACATAATGATGGCTGACTGGGAACAGTTATGGACCACAGGTATGAAGTTTACGGCATGCAATGCCTTAAGAGAGAATATTATGAAAATGATATACAGGTGGTACATGACCCCAGTCAAGCTTGCAAAAATCTATCATTTGCCTGATAATAAATGTTGGAAATGTAAAGAAACTGAAGGTACATTCTTTCACCTTTGGTGGACGTGCCCAAGGATTAAGGCTTTCTGGGAGATGATCTATAATGAATTGAAAAAGGTATTTAAATATACCTTCTTGAAGAAACCAGAGGCCTTTCTCCTGGGCATAGTCGGCCAATTGGTGCCAAAGAAGGATAGAACTTTTTTTATGTATGCAACAACAGCAGCAAGAATACTCATCGCGAAGTATTGGAAGACACAAGACCTACCCACTCTGGAAGAATGGCAGATGAAGGTGATGGACTATATGGAACTGGCGGAAATGACTGGCAGAATCCGAGACCAGGGAGAAGAGTCGGTGGAAGAAGATTGGAAGAAATTTAAAGACTATCTACAGAAATATTGTAAAATTAATGAATGTTAGAATGATGTTGGATAGAAATTAAGTGGTTTTCAGCTGTAATACTATAAGGGAATATGAAAAATGGATTATTAATAGGTAAAAATTTAACGTTACAATATTTTAAGATTAAAGACTAGGATAAACAAAGAGGGTAAGGATTTGCTGAACCAACAAACCGAACTGGAATACAAAAAGGGAGGCGTGAGGAGGTCCGGGAAACAAGCTAATGAAAAATAAGTAATGGAAAGATTGAGTTGTTTTTAACCATTTTTATTTTGTATTTTCTTCTTTTTTATTTTTATTTTGTAATATTTTGAAAATCTTAATAAATATCTTATTAAAAAAAATAAATAAAGCGAGATGAGCGCTGCAACCCCAGAGTCGGTCACGACTGGACCTAATGGTCAGGGGTCCCTTTACCTTTTAATGCAGGACTAATCCTACCATTATACAGAAGGAGGCAGCTTCTTCAAGCAGTGCTGAATACTCAAGCACCAATCTGCTTCAAATGGGTGGTGGTGGGCAGCATCATACTGTATTTTGCCCCAGACTTCAAACTGTCGTGGGTTGCAAGACCACTTGAGAACTCAAAAGCTTGTTCACCATCTGGCTATATTTTTAGTTGGGGCTAATAAACATACTGTCCTACTATGGATTTTGGAATTTCTCTGCCACTGTTTCCCTCCACAGGATGTTGCTGCATTTTTTTGTAGCATCTTTCAGAGCAAGTTTGCCTTCCACTGATTGCTTCCCATGGCTCTACCTTTTAGTGTGAGTTATTATGACATCTGGACCATCTGGCTCTGATTTCTATGACTCACTGGATTTTGGATTATTTTCATAGTCTGACAATTTGGAGGTCTAGCTGTGAGTGGTTAGGGTGTGAATGGGCATGTTTCAACATCTGCATTCCCCTTGTTTTTCCAGTTCTGTAGCTTCCCTTCTCCTCTCCAGCCTGCTCCTCTTACTATTTTTGCAGGTTGCAACTGGGAGTTTTCTTGGTTCAGAACTGCACACTTTTGGCACAAGTCAGTCATAAATCATTTTCAACCACACCCTTCTGGCAAGGGCGGTTTCCCACTAGCACTGCCGCTGGGAATCCAACAGATTTAGCTACATTATTCTTCATATTGAACTGATTTTAATCTTGCCTTGCTACAGATTTTCCACAAATGTAAACAAGAAGCACAGCTTAGCCCACAGCTTAAAACAGCATTTATGCATACATGGCAAGAAGTGCAAAGGCTGAGCATTCAGAGACTTAAGCTCCCCTATTCAAAACTGGGCAATGAAAACAACTCTCTAGGAAATGGAAACAATCCTTCAAAAATACTAACATTCATTCAGTTTCTCTAGGAGTCTCAAATTTGTGAAAGCCTCTTGTTGAGATGCCAAACTTTTCAGAAGAAGGGTCACCCCTCTTCCAGCAAAGAATATTGCATAGATGCTGCTATACAAGTTTATATTGCTCCTGCCTCTCTGGCAATTGGGATGTCCTCAACAAGCATGACACTAGGCTGTTCACCGTCTTGAAGTTGTACACTTACAAGCACACATAGTATAATACAAGTATAATACAGCTGAAGCAATTTTAGGAGGATGTTTTGGAATGCTACCCCCATTTGAAATCCCAAACTCATGCATTTATGTTGAGATTTGCTAAAGCAAACAGACAGGAAAAGCAAGCTTTGTGAGAACTGATCTCATTCCCAAGAATCATTACTATGCCAAGACATTGCAAAAGATAATGCAGTCCTCAGTGGCTTTGCAAAGGGGTACAAAATGACCCGAGAAAGGATGCAAAGCTTGTAACAGTTGGCTATGGATGATTCCCAGTGATGAATGGGATACTTGCCAAAGCCCCTTGCCAGACAGCCATCAGCAAAGCTCATTTTCTGCCCTGGGAAGAAGCAACAATGGGAAGGTGCAGTGAAAGTAGCACCCTTCACACCCTGCCCCCAAGGATGAATCTCCAGTGTGCCTCAGAGAGTCAGCTAGTGCACAGAGGGCATAGCTGCACACCCAAGGAGGAGGAGAAAAACTAGGTCAGTTATGAATCATTGGAGATCAGTTGAGTTGACTCATTGCGGTGTCTGCTGATTATATGTGCTACTTTGGTGACTCTGGTTCCTTGCTAAGCTCTGCTGAGCAATCGTAAAGCCTTGAAGAAGCACGCTCCTTGCATTTTGTGCTATTAGAAGCTGCCTTAACTTTATTGATGGGGCACCCTGTTTCTGTTTGAATTGTGTACATTTGCAAAATAAAAAAGGATGGGAACAAACATTTGCAAATTTTAAAAGCAGAGCATACTATTTAAGGGAAAGACAGAGGAGGGATTGAGCAAGAGGGGGCGAGGATCCCTCAGCTGGGAGGGGAGGCTTTGCACTGCCTATCGGAGCAGCCCCGATCTCAACTCCTACTTGCATGCAAGCAGGAGGGGAAAGGAATCACACTTCAAAACGACCTTGACAGATTAGAGAACTGGGCCAAAACAAACAAGATGAATTTTAACAGGGAGAAATGTAAAGTATTGCACTTGGGCAAAAAAAATGAGAGGCACAAATACAAGATGGGTGACACCTGGCTTGAGAGCAGTACATGTGAAAAGGATCTAGGAGTCTTGGTTGACCACAAACTTGACATGAGCCAACAGTGTGACGCGGCAGCTAAAAAGCCAATGCAATTCTGGGCTGCATCAATAGGAGTATAGCATCTAGATCAAGGGAAGTAATAGTGCCACTGTATTCTGCTCTGGTCAGACCTCACCTGGAGTACTGTGTCCAGTTCTGGGCACCACAGTTCAAGAAGGACACTGACAAACTGGAACGTGTCCAGAGGAGGGCAACCAAAATGGTCAAAGGCCTGGAAACGATGCCTTATGAGGAACGGCTAAGGAAGCTGGGCATGTTTAGCCTGGAGAAGAGGAGGTTAAGGGGTGATATGATAGCCATGTTCAAATATATAAAAGGATGTCACATAGAGGAGGGAGAAAGGTTGTTTTCTGCTGCTCCAGAGAAGCGGAAACGGAGCAATGGATCCAAACTACAAGAAAGAAGATTCCACCTACCGTATTTTGCGCTCCATAGGGCGCACCTGACCATAGGGCGCACCTAGTTTTTAGAGGAGGAAAATACGGAAAAAAATATTCTGAATCAAATGTTGCACTAAACTATTTAAAGCAGCAAAGCGGGTGGCTCCTGTCCGCTTTGCTGCTTTAAACTGAGCCTCAGAGGAGGGTAGGAAGGGGAACCATGGCTTATCTAAGTCCAGTTAATAACGCTGAGCCTGACTTATGGCCATCGAGATTAGCCTGACCGTCTCAGTGGAAATCTGGGGAGGCTGGGGTGGACTTTCAGTGGTCAAAGTGTGGTTGTGTCTTCCTGCCCAGCATCTATTTCCTGCCCTCTTTCCCTCCTGCACCTCCGCACCCTGCTTCGAGGGAAGGAAGCGGAGCCATGGATCCTCTGCTCGCAACTGCAGTGGATTCCCTCCACTTTGAAGCAGGAAAGTGGGAGAGGAGCTGCTTACATGAGTGTAAGCTGCTCCCCTCCCGCTTTGCTGCTTCAAAGGGAGCCCAGGAGGAGGGAATCTGCTGCAGCCGCAAGCAGTGGAGGATCCATGGTCCCCTTCCTTCCCTCCTCCGTAGTTGCTTTGAAGGAGGAAAGTGGGAGAGGAGCTGCTTACACGAGTGGACGCTGCTCCCCTCCCACATTGCCGCTTCAAAGCAATCACGGAGGTCGGAATCCGCTGCAGCCTCTAGCAGCGGAGGATCCATGGTCCCCTTCCTTCCCTCCTCCGTAGTTGCTTTGAAGGAGGAAAGTGGGAGAGGAGCTGCTTACACGAGTGTAAGCTGCTCCCCTCCCACATTGCCGCTTCAAAGGGAGCCCGGGAGGAGGGAATCTGCTGCAGCTTCCCCCACCTCCCGCAAAAGCCGCGCGCTCTTTAAAGGGGCTGCGCGGCTTCCCCTGGCTTTTCTGGGAGGTGGGGGGATTCCCCCACCTCGTAGAAAAGCCTGCAGGAGCCGCACAGCCTTTAAAGAGGGCGCCGCTCTTGGGGGCTTTTCCCCCAGGAGGGAGAAGGGACTGATGCGGCCAGTCAGTCCCTTCTCCCTCCTGGAGAAAAGCCCGCAAGAGCGCACGAAGCTTGTGTGCGGCTCTTGAGGGCTTTTCCCGCCTGCCTCCCCCCCTGCATTCGCTCCATAGGACGCACACACATTTTCCCTTGCTTTTTAGGCGGGAAAAAGTGCGTCCTATGGTGCGAAAAATACGGTAAACATTAGGAAGAACTTCCTGACAGTAAGAGCTGTTCGACAGTGGAATTTGCTGCCAAGGAGTGTGATGGAGTCTCCTTCTTTGGAGGTCTTTAAGCAGAGGCTTGACAACCATATGTCAGGAGTGCTCTGATGGTGTTTCCTGCTTGGCAGGGGGTTGGACTCGATGGCCCTTGTGGTCTCTTCCAACTCTATGATTCTATGAATCCCATCAGAGCAGCCCCATCCCACTCCTACTTGCGTGCATGCAGGAGGGGGCAGCGAGCCCTCAGCTGCAGTCCAGAATCTTTCAGTTTCACCCTTCGCATTAGTGCAGGCATGCTTTTTTTTTCCAATTGAGATGAATACATGGTAAAATCTCAGTTAATGTCAGTTGGTCTAAATCAGGTATAAATATATTTGGACACAACAAGTATACTTGGTGTTATGTTCCTGTTCATATGTTGTGAACTTAAAAGTTGACAGACAACCTTTATTACTGCGTAATGTACGGTACTTTACAATGTTCCTGACATATATTTCAGCTTTCTGGATTCATTTGCATAAAATTGTTGCATAAAATTTGCATTTAATTTTAATGATTCTAAGAATGTCAGGCAAAATGGTCGGGCCCTGTGCATGTTCACTTCATCAAATCATGCCCCAGCTCTCATGCTATCTGTTGCTGCTGCTGCATGTTGTAGTCTCCATCATCTGGGGCAACAGATTGACAAAGGCTGCTGTAGAGTCTCAGGAGTTGAAGCAGCCCAGGAAAGGAGATACTAATAACAATGGAGAGTTTGTTTCTTTGAAGTTTGACCACAGTCATCGTTCCCTTCCGTCTCCTCAACACCTAAGTGTAAATGTAAGTTAAACCCAGAAATTTCTGTGAGGAGCAATCCTAAAAACAGCTCAACAACTTTGGGGCAAAATCCTAAAAAAAGCTCAACAACTTTGGCCAGCCCTCATCAAATCAGTGGCGTAGCGTGGGTTGTCAGCACCTGGGGCAAGGCAAGTAATTTGCGCCCCCTAACCCTGAGTGAGCCAGGTAGGGGCAGAGAGCTGCGAGTGCGAGCGTGCCCCCCCAGATGTTGCACCTGGTGCGGCCGGCCCCCCTGCACCCCCCACGCTACGCCACTGCATCAAATCTGGCCCTCTTTGAAAAATGTTTGACACCACTGCCCTAAGCACTCCATGTAAGGACAGAGGAGAAGGAGTGGAGGAGGGTGGAGCTTTTCGGCTGACATCTCTAGTGGTAAACCAGGCAGTAACTTTTCCAGGGTTCTGTTTTTCACTTCCAATCACAGTGCCAGTCTTCCTGTCACAAGGAAGGAGGAACTGTCTCTTGTCAAATGAGCACAACAACCCCTCCCCAGTGAACTGTTCTTTAGTCATCATAAACCCTGCATCAATACATTTTGAAATGTTCAGGTTCCCTGTTTAGGGGGAACTGTACCATATATGCTGCTTTTATGCAAATCTCTCCCCAAACCACGGGGAATCCCTTTTTAGATTCCCCCTCATCAACTTTAAAGCTGTCCTGCATCTAACACAATATCCCATACCTATCCTGAAATTTGACAAGCTTTTTATTACTTAGGGGCATCTCAATGGCAGAATGTTCTCAAACAAATTACGTACAAAACAATATGGGGGGGGGGTAAAGTGATTTTTTTTAAAAGGTGCATTTTAGAAGATTTCCAGAGTGATCCTAACCGTGTCTGCTCGGAAGTAACTCTTACTGAATTCAGTGGGGCTTACTCTCAGGAAAGTGGGGTTAGGCTCACAGCCTTAGATTTTGCCTTTTGGTTGCAATCCTAAGCATGACTTATTTGGAGAAAGGTCTAGCTGAAATCAGTGAGATATACCCTGAGTAAACATCTCAAGAACTGCAGTTTTAATGTGAAATACAGTGACATTTCTATTTGGGGAGATTCTAACGGTTAAGAGACAGGTTTTATTTTATTTTCTTTGTTCAACGTTTGTGCAACCAATGTTTTGCTTCTGGTCATCCTCAAGAGAAAAGGAGGGCAAGAACAATGGGCACATGGAATTCATAACACTGATTTGGTCCCATGTTGCTTGTTGGTGAGTCTTCAGCTTGATGTGCCTTTGCATCCTGAAAATAATTGTAACATCTACAAAAGGTTCCAGTCTTTGCTATTCTTTGACTCTTGTAAGCAGATACTTCAGCTGAGCCAATTAATGTTTAAAATATTTCATGTCTAGATTAGCATAATGCGTTCCTTCAAGACTCTGATTTCTTTTTGCTGTGTTACAAACTAACACATTGGAAAAAGAAGCACTAATCCTGAAATACAGCCTTGAACTTCCCGGCTATTATCTTCTCCCCACTGTGGGAAGTTGGGAACTGATTATTTATGCCTGCATTTCCTCTCCTATGACTGTTATCTGCTTCCTGCTCTAATCCACAGAAATACGTTTCTGCTTATGTGACTACTTATAAAACTTAGTCTTCTTAAAGAAATGCCTTTGGTGTGAAGATCTTGCTTTGTCAGCAGCAGCTGAAGAATTTACCTGTTAAGCTGAAGATCTTAACATTTGCTTTTATGTTTCTCCTCTTAGATGCCAGGCTAAAGACCTATATGTCAGACTGAACAGGGACCCATGACAACTAGAGTTTATGCTGAATTTTGAGGCAGAAACTGCTGTCAAGAATACCAGGCCCCTCAGATTCACTTGTGAACCACCGTGAGACCTCTGAGTATAGGGCGGTATATAAACTCCAATAATAATAATAATAATAATAATAATAATAATAATATACCCAAGTTTAGGTATCTTTGCTCCCTTAACTTTCCAGTGCCACCAATTCACTCAGAGTGCTTTGAAAAAGCCTCCTAGCACAGAGATGGACACCAGCACTTGAGACAGGATGAATTATAAACTAATATTATTGGTTTATTAAAGGATGCTATAAGAGAATACTGATACTTGGGGCTTTCCCCCCCAGCCAGAGCTCACTGGAGCTCCAGCACCTCTTTTTCTAGAAAAATAGCCCTGCTGGTACTTACATTGGGTACTTATTGACAGTTTCTGAAAACTCAAGAGACCATGTTCCTAACACCAGATCTCCAACTCTTCAAGTGGCTTTTACCTCAGGCCAATTTTCCTGGAACTCCACCTCAGGCAATAACTCCCCAACCCAGTCCACTTATTGGGGATAATCTGCCTCTGTACCCCAAAACTCTACTTCTTGGACATTTTAGCCCATTTGTATAAACTTCCTCTGGTAAGAGGATAGCCTCTCAGGCTACCTCAGCCACCAACTCCTTTCTCTGATCTTCCCCAGACGAGTATTATTATTCCTTAATAAATGTCTATACTGCCCTTCATCCGAGGATCACAGGGCAGTTTTACAATATAAAAACACAAAAATACATAACACAGATAAAACACTGGGCATTCTGAATAACACATGGGCCGTTAATATATATAGGCCTCAGTTTCCCCCCTGGTTTTATTCCTCACACTTTCCTCATCAAGCCCTTTATTCCCACCAACTTTCAGCAAGAACTACTGAGACAAAGGCTTACAACACCATAACAGAACAAGGCCTCGGACTCTGTAACAGAAGTCACAGAACATTTTATCCCTTCAGGCACAAATATAAACAGGTTTTATATCTAATTTCTCCACAGCCGCCCTGTGCTGTGCATTTAAAGGACGTGCATTTAAAAGTTGGACAAGTTGAGTGTGGCTTTCCTCATCCTTCTAAGAGCTCCATGGAGGAAAGGTGGGGTATTAATGTAAGAATAAATAATAAAATGCCGAAGTCAACTCTGCTGGCTTATACAGGACATGCCCACTTGTTGCTCCAAGTCAAAAACTCTGGAAATGTTTTGAGTTTGGTTATGGTTTCTAAAGAATGTCACAACTAGTACTTCAGCACAAGCAGTTCTCATGCAGAGGGGGCATTTCATACCACATTTAGAAACAACTAAAAGAGGAAGTAACAAATTCCCTCTGCTTCTTTTTTAGATTATTTCCCTTTAGGAAGGTCAACAAGGATGCAGATCTTTACATTTCTTGCTGACATATCCAAAACTTTCACAGAATCATGTTGGGTCAAGTAAACAATCTCTTTTCCTTTTTCGGTCATGCGATAGGAGGCGATTTCTTTCTAAGAAGAAGGAAACTTCCTTCTTTTCTCCCTAGTATTGGAAGACTTACCATGTTGGACAAGGGTTCACAAAGTGCACATCCTCTGCTCTCATTGAGCTCTCAGACTCCCTGAAGGCTCTTTTCCAGGAAAACAAAGGGCACTTCCACACTGACATTATTATGGGACTGGGATTCAATCACATATCGGCCCATTTAAGATGCACAGTTATGGATGAAAGGGATTAACAATTGCTGGATGCATTGTTGTATCATTTTCCTGCAAAAAAATAAAAATTGGGTGGTTGCTCATTTCAACATACTGTATAGAGGGCCACTGGTTCCCCATTTCTTATCTAGGGATCTGATGGAAAGTAGTAGTAGATCTATACCTGTTTGCTCCCGCTTTATATTTGTAAATACAGCCAACAGCACAAAAACACCATAAGCCTCTAATGCTTTCTCAAATAAAGGAAACGATTCACTTTTTAATCCAGATAGCAGCCAGTTGAGGCAACATTATCTTGAGGATCCAGGAATGAGTTTCACTCAAAAGGCAAGGTGAAATGTGAGGAGTGGAATTCGTCTTCTGTCTGTGCAAGCATTCCTGGGATGATTCCCCTTCTCCGTGGTGGACCTTGGGGTCTCAGATTTCAGTGGCGCTCTGTGCAATGCCAAAATTCGGTGCCCTCCCACCTCTTGCCCTACATTCTTCATCATAACTGCAGCACCCTCAAGACTCTACCCCCAGTGCGATTGAACAGGTTGCGCTCCCCTAAATCTGCCTCTGCCCTCCTCCTCCCCCCATGTGCTATACTGGGGGCTTTTTCAATCCACCCCAGCCATTTCAGGATAGCCTGGGTGGGGAGAGGTGGGGGGAAGCCCCCTTGCCCAAGCAGAAGTCCTTGTCTAGGGCTTCTGCCGGCAGGGCTAGTTAGGTGAAACCTGCATGGTGTGTTTTGCATTGCACCAGGATTTTGGTTGGGGTTGTTTTTTTTGGGGGGGGGAGGTTGCCCTAGGTCTTCCAAAGAGTTTTACAATCAATAAAAAGCTTGTAGTTAAACAGAGAAATGTCATGGACTTTTTCAGTGTTCCCATAACAAAATAGCAACCACTAACAAAAGTAATACCCAAAGTATAGCCACTCCAGGCTTTTCTTGTGTCAGACCTGGTTCTTGTGTACAAGTGGATGGATTCAGTTTTGCTTCTTTTTTTAAAGACAGGTACATGGATGTAGCTTTCAAGGGCCTCTGGCTGAAAAACGGAATAGAAACAAACTGTTAACAGTCATGGATAGTGAGAGACCTCTAGCAAGGGAGTGCAAATATGTCCAAGTTTCAAATCTTTTCAATCTTAAATTCTGTTCTTCATATTTCTGGAACAGTTTGCCACACACACACACGTGTGCATGCATATACTTCATACAAATCCATCAGCATTTTAGTGTGGATTTCTTCTAGCATACTTATTTTTGTAATCAGTTTTGACTAATGCACTTTTTGTAAGCAATTTCCCTTAATAAAATTAATTGTAACTTGTAATTTTGACTACTTATATGCATTTTTGTGCACGCTTTACTCTAGTACATGCACATTTCTTGTTATACGTGGCTGGAGATCCGCATTGCACAATTTGGGAAAATGTGAATTTCATAGGATGGTTGTGTTTCAGTTCATATATTGCTTCAAAAAGTGCAAATTTGGTAAGTTTGCCTGAATAAAAAATCTACTCCTTGCTACCTCTAGAGTAGCAGAAGTACGTCTCCCAATTGCTCGGGCCTGGAAACAAATGGGACACAAAGAATAACACCTTGTGTATCTACTCTGCCCTATGGGTCGGCGGGTTTATGGGAAGGCCCACTTCTGAATGAAAGAATACATGTTTTGTTTCCAGAAGACCTGAGATTCACCTCTTAGTATTGTCAGTTAAAGGGATATCATGGGAGCAGGGCTTGGGAAGAGTCTCTGTCTGAGACCCTGGAGACCCAGCTAGCATAAATGGTTTGAGGTTAGTTGGGTCCCTGTCCTGGCTCTTTATATGTTGCAATATTTCTGTGGGAGAGCATGTGCTTTGCAAGTGTAAGGTCCTAGGTTCAGTTCCTTGCATCGCCAGTTAAGACGGGGACTTAGGCAGCGTGACAGACAGCTGCAACCTCAGACAGCTGTTTTCAGTTAGACATGACAGCATTGGGCTGGAAAGACTAATAGTCTGATTCAGTGAAAGGAAGGTCGGCACTGATGCAGAAACAGGGAGCGAGGGAACCTCAAAAGTAAACTGGAGTTATGTTAGATTTTGCCCTAGTTGTGTCTCCTCTAAAACAAACACATAGCTTAGTGCAGGGGTCCTCAAACTTTTTAAATAGGGGGCCAGTTCACTGTCCCTCAGATACTGTTGGGGACTGGACTATCGTTTGAAAAAAATATGAACGAATTCCTATGCACATTGCACATATTTTATTAGTGGTGCACAAAAAATCAGGAGAAACAATACAATATTTAAAATGAAGAACGATTTTAATCAACATAAACTTATAAGTATTTCAATGGGAAGTATGGGCCTACTAATGAGATGGTCAATATCCGGTTCCATATTTGTCACGGCTAGTCGTAGCAAGTGATGCAAGTGTTCATCAGTTAGTTGGGATCTGGTTGGAGATTTCAGATGCTTCATTCCAGGAAAAGTCTGTTCACAGACATAGGTGCTGCCAAAGATGGTTGCAATTTTGAGTGCATGGTTCCTGAGATTCAGATATGTCTCAGAAGGGAGAGATGCATAGATATTAGTGAGACTGAATTATGTAGGACATTAAATTTCTGCACCTAAATTTCTGCCACTGCTGTGGCAAAGGGATCTACTATCATTCAAATAACTAAATTTAAATTATGTGAAAACATGACGATAAAAAAAAGCATGCAACAGAAAACCTTACGTGGGCAAGTTTCAGTTTTAAGCAAATGATAAGGCAAGGCAAGGAGCCCTGTTTAGGGAATGATTTAATGACTGATGTTTTAATGTATTTTTAATCTTTTGTTGGAAGCCTCCCAGAGTGGTTGGGGAAACCCAGCCAGATGGGTGGGGTAGAAATAATAAATTATTATTATTATTATTATTGAGGTTAAAACTTGGTACTCTGTTTCTAGTTTGATGTAGGTGCTGTGAGTCACATGTATAACTGCTAACAATGCATTTTAACATGTTTCCTTTGTTCACTGTCTATTTCTGTATGCTGATAAAGAGGTGCCAGAAACATGCTCTTTTTCATGTTTTGTTTTTTAAAAAAACCTTATTTCAAAATAATAGCCAGAACAGACACACAACAGGCACTATCAGTAATAATGTAAGTTACCTATACCTCACCTTTATACTACATTTCTTCTGGGTTATTTTTGATGTTGTTGTTCCTCATGCATAGGACTTTCTCTGCATTGAAGTTTATTTTCAAACTTGGGAAAGTTTGGGTGGAGAGCTTTATTTTAAGGATTAACCCACCACTATTTACATGGAGATTCCCTTGTACAATGAACTGTTGTGATTCAGACTTCTCTTCTTGCTAATTCTATTTGTATATGTTGCCTGTGTTTTTGGTGCTTCCCTAACTTTTAAGGTTGCCAAGAAGAAGAAGAAGAGTTTGGATTTGATATCCTGCTTTATCACTACCCGAAGGAGTCTCAAAGTGGCTAACATTCTCCTTTCCCTTCCTCCCCCACAACAAACACTCTGTGAGGTGAGTGAGGCTGAGAGACTTCAAAGAAGTGTGACTAGCCCAAGGTCACCCAGCAGCTGCGTGTGGAGGAGCGGAGACGCGAACCCGGTTCCCCAGATTATGAGACTATCGCTCTTAACCACTACACCACACTGGCTCTCCGCCACATGGGACCTGCATGCATATTAAGGAGGCAACTGGCCAGTGAGGCGCTGTTCCAGGGCACAGAGCTGGCCTGAGGGGAAGGGTGGAGGGGAAGGGTTGGCATGGAGGAAACTGGTTGATTCAGGACCCTGGCGGGCCGGATCTGGCCTAAGAGCTGTAGTTTGAGGACCCCTAGCTTAGTTCTTTTTTTTCAACCACCTTTCGAAGATAATGAAGTCTCCCTGTCCCTTTATTTTACGACGATAGTGCTGCTATCAATATGGGGTGGGGAGCCAGGAAGAGAGCAAATGTTGTGTCTGATATCCTCGCATGTCAGTGGATGAGGTCAACATCCCTAGCCAAAATAAAAGATTTGGAGCAGTGGCGGAGTTAGCTGCATGGGCGCCCAGAGTGGCGGCCATGCCGTGCACCCGGGGGGTGGGGTGATCTGCCGCACATGGGGGTGGGAGGGCGAGCCCCCCGCGGTATGCCTTTTTGTTACCTCCCTCAGAGATGACACCCGGGGCGAACCGCCCCCACAGCCCCCCCTTTCTATGCCACTGATCTGGAGGTATTTGGGGGAATGGTACACCACGATGACCAAAAGAACTTCGCTCTGCTGATGACATCTACAAAATTGAATGGTCTCTGAATAATATTTTGTTTCCTTTGTAGGGTTATGGCATTACATTTATACCAAACCTTATGGTACAACCGCCTTTCAGCTTTACAATCCTGGGTTGTGGTGAGAGAGGCAACTAACTTGTGACATATAAACTGTTTGGCTAAGTTAATAACAGGACAAGCTCCTCCATGTTTACTCAAAAGTGGGAATGAAACAGAGACATCCGTAATACATTCCAGACTTTTGATCTAACAGTAATTATAACAAGTCTGCTTCAATATTTCATGTCTGTTTTCTGTGTGATTACATTTAAATAAATTAAAAAATTTAAAAGTACAGATGTATGAATCTGTTAATTCAAGTTTTTTTTCACTTTCTCAGTTTGTCATATTTCTGCATCAGTTTGCGATTAAAAAAAAAAAGTCCACATGAACATTTGTCAGCAATTTTGGGAGCGACTCCAGCCATGGATCAAGCGGGGCGCTGGCCAAGGACCCAGGAGCTTTGGGGGGGCATCTCATTGACCCCAGATCAACCACAATCTGCTGATTCCTGCTAGTTCTAACATTAGACAGTGGACTGTTCCCACAAAGGTCTTCTTTTCTACTTGGGATAGGTTTGTGCTGCAGATTTCACCTTTAGTAAAATGCTAAACTTCTTAGTCATATATCAGAAAGCACATACCTAGTGGGTTGTTGCTGTTGTTGCTGTTGTTGTTTAAAGGTGAACAAATGTGCCACAACGCTGCATTCTTTGCTGGTGCTCATGTGCTAAAGACAACTTATGTCAACAGCTGCAATGTTGTTCTTGCTTGTGCACACACACACACAATCCTCTTACATTCATTACATGTAGATAGGAGATCACAACAGTGTTGCTGAAACGTTACTTCTGGGAGAACTTTGCAATGGCTTTCTTATTTATTCGACTTCTTGTGCAGAAAGTCTCTCAGTGATTAATTTCCTGCACAAATAAATTACAGTCTGAATGTTGCCTCGTGAAGGTATGTTACGATAATTCAGGTGCAGGGAAGAGCGTACATAAAACGTGTTTATAGCAAACAGTTTTGTCATCGTGCGTATGGTTTGAGGTTGCCTCATGTGAGTGATTGCATTGGTTTGAGTCTGTTCACCCAAATTGCATCAGTCCATCTCCATTTGCCACGGTCATACAGCTTCCTTTGTTTATGCTCAAATGCCTACTAGTTTAAATGCAGTTTATGGAACTGTGGTTTTACGCTGAGGCCATCTTCTTGCTACATAATTGTGGGCTGAGTTTCTAAACCAGCTAGGATGAGACTTTGAAAAACTCTTCAGAATGAGTGGGTGCTTTCGTAGGCCCATTCTGGTTCATTTCCTTTTTAAGAAAGCACCACATGCCACAGGGTTCAGATCTAATTGGGGATTATTACTATCATTATAATACAAAAGCTTAGCAATTGTTCCCTCACTTTCAACCAATCACATACAAACTTTCCGCCCTCTGTATGTAAAATGCTAGGCTTTATTCACAGTTTTCTTGATTAAGCTAAAGGTCAGTTTTTAAAACCTCTTAGTTCCACTACTTCACTTTTGAATGAACTGATGAATAGACACACTTCTCATAACTGAAGCCATATTTGCTATGAGGTATTATTGTAATAGGAATTGGGGAGGTGGGGGGGAGAGAGAAATATTCAAGACAGACATTTCTCCTAACAAGAAGAGGAAGCTGTTGTGTGTTAACCTGCAAGGTACTTCAAAAAGCACTCATACTCAGGTTTTAATAGTGGTAAGCAAAGTTACTGAAATGTAAAAAAGTGATCAAAAGGCAGATGACTGATCAATAGACAGTCTATTAGACAGCCTAACAGTACAAACTGAGCTCATGGCTTTTTGTTCTTTGCCAGGCATAGGCAAACTCGGGCCTCCAGATGTTTTGGGACTACAACTCCCATGATCCCTAGCTAACAGGACCAGTGGTCAGGGATGATGGGAATTGTAGTCCCAAAACATCTGGAGGGCCGAGTTTGCCTATGCCTGTTCTTTGCTCTTTGTACCTGGGAAGTGCCTGGGCTCCCTTCTCTTTTTATAGCAGTTTTTTAAAACTTTCCAACTCTCAGCCTAACTGCTGTCATGTTCCATAATAACAATAACAATATCCATACAGGGTGTCATAGACATCAAGTTGGTGATCGACATAAAATTATCAATAACATCGCATGATGAAGAACACATGACAACTAACAAATCAGTGAATCGGATTGCTAAGTCGGCTGAATCAGTCCTCAGGAAAACCCTGGGGAAACCAATATGTTTTGAGCAGGCAGGTAAACGTTGATACCATAGGCACCTGCCTGATTTTTACTGGGGGTACATTTCAAAGAGCAGGTGCCACAACCATAAAGCCTTGGTTTTTGTAGACATAATGTGAGCCTAGATAGCATCCTAAAAAGCAGAGACATCACCTTGTCAACAAAGGTCCATATAGTTAAAGCTATGGTTTTCCCAGTAGTGATGTTTGGAAGTGAGAGCTGGACTACAAAGAAGGCTGATCGCTGAAGAATTGATGCTTTTGAATTATGGTGCTGGAGGAGACTCTTGAGAGTCCCATGGACTGCAAGAAGATCAAACCTATCCATTCTTAAGGAAATCAGCCCTGAGTGCTCACTAGAAGGACAGATCCTGAAGCTGAAGCTCCAATACTTTGGCCACCTCATGAGAAGAGAAGACTCCCTGGAAAAGACCCTGATGCTGGGAAAGACTGAGGGCACAAGGAGAAGGGGACGACAGAGGACAAGATGGTTGGACAGTGTTCTCGAAGCTCCCAGCATGAGTTTGACCAAACTGCGGGAGGCAGTGGAAGACAGAAGTGCCTGGTGTGCTCTGGTCACGAAGAGTTGGACACAATTAAACGACTAGACAACAACAAGGTGAGCCTCAGAAGCATGTGGCACTGCTAAGAGTGTTTCTCCTGAGGAACATAGTGTCCAAGCAGGGTGCACAAGGTAAAGTGATTCCAAAGATAATTTGATCCCAAGTTGTTGAGGGCTTTCTATGTTAAAAGCAAAACCTTGGTCTGGTACGATACTGACATCCAGCACAGTTCTTTTCAGCAGCAGTGTTCCATGTTATCAAATGGACGCACCCTTCAGCAATCTCATTGCAGTAATGTTGCTCCTTCAAACTTGTACACCTTTGCTAAAATACCCTCTGTTTATTTCTGCATTAGTGTATTTCTTCATTCCACTGGTAAATGAGCATGGAAACATGTTCATCGCTATTCTTAGAAACCTAGAGCCTTCCAAAGCTAATTCAAGTGTGTCAGTGATAAGCAATGGAACTCTCACAGCCCAACATTTTATCCCATGGATGGCTTTGCATGTTCTATGCTGGGGTGTTGCCCTCTACGATCAGGTAAACTTCATGTCCTGAGTTTTGGTTGTTAAATGTGAAAACATCTCATTTTTAGACTCAGGGTGCCTTGACCTACATACACGATGTACCAACCAAACTCTGGCTTTCAAAGTCATTCTGATTTACAGTCTGGTTTCCACCCTTCAAATTCCACTGAAGTTGCTCTCACTGAGATCATAGACTGCATTCTTGTTATCAGATCTACAGGTATCTATTTTGTTCTTGACCTGTGATACAGCTAGCCACTCTGTCCTTCTTGGCTCCCTCCTTATTTTGGGCTTCCATTCCTCTGTTCTTTTCTACTTCCTCTCCTATTTGGTTAGGGTTGCCATATTTCAAAAAAAAATAAAGACCAGGACACACCGAAGTTGTTTAGCTTTTTTAAATACAAAACACCAAAAAACCCGTGATTTTTCAATTGACTTGCCTAAGATCCAGGACAACGCACCATAGGAAATTCCCCCTGGATGTTAATTCCGCCTTTGAAATCCTGGTTATGTCCAGACACATGGCAACCCTATATTTGGTGATCACGATTCAATATTTCTAGAGGGGAAGTTCCTCAGCAACCTTCCTCTGTCTGGAAGACCCACCAAATCATGGCTTTTACTTCCACATGTAGATGGCAACAAGCAATGTCTCTCTAGTCAGTCTCACCTCGCCATCAGCCTGATGGATAGATCAATGGATACAGAGGGAAGAATTATACATTATATTAAACCTACAACATTGCTGTGACTTTTCTGCGGTAGGACAATCTGTAAAGACGGAGGATAGATTACACTTAACTGATATAATCAACTCTAAACTATTATACAAACCTGCTTAATGTTTTATTGTATAATTTACATTGTATACACACGTAATGTTTCTTGGGGGATGGGGTTATATGGGGATTATTTGGTTGTAAGTACTTTCAGAAACTGAAAAATAAAGTTTAAGAACTAAGAAAGAAAGGAAACTTCTCAGCATGTGACGTGAGCCATTCTGGTTCTCCTTTGTCTCCCTGTTTCCTGCTAAGCTCTGGAGAAGTGGAAGCATGTTTGCACATGAATCATGGCAAGTTGTGACTATAATGAGCATAGGTGCGGAAATGAGAACAGCCATTCCAGAGGCTTCCAGTTCTCTGGGCAGCAGAACTGGTGGATATCCTTGAATTCTTCCCTGAATTATAAACAATACTCGGTAAGGTTGCCTGTTTGTCATAATAGCATAATACCAAGCACACACAAAAATATTTTCTGGACTTCATGGTGGAGAAACCGAAAAAGCACCTTCAACCACCTGTGCAAACATTTTACATCAAGAAAGGTAAAAAGAGGAAGCCTTGATGCGAAGAGGGAAAGGAACTATAATGGAGCAGTGTGTGTGGAGTATTAGGAGTCCTGGGCAAACATTTCATCTGTGCGGAGGAAGGAGGATATTATGATCATGCCTGCTGGTCCAGCCCTATCAAAATCTCTACCACTGGTAGTGGCTGGGACAAACAAGACAAGAGTGTAAAACAAATTCATGGAGGATTAGACAAATTCATGGAGAGCAAGACTATCAATGGTTATTAGCCACAATAGCTATGTTCTATGCCTGACCCACTGCCTACACTTACAGAACAAACCTTTCTAACCTGGAATATGTCCCAGTGATTTCAAAGAAATAAACAACTACCTGATGTTTACAAGACATCTGAAGGCAGCCCTGTTCAGGGAAGTTTTTAATGACTGATATGTTAATGTATTTTTAATCTTTTGTTGGAAGCCGCCCAGAATAGGAGAGTTAAATGGGTAACACCTTAAAGCCCTGAATGGTTTGGGGCCCAAGTTTTTGCAGGGGCGCTTTCTCTAATCCCTGTCAACTAAGCCTTTAAGATCTGCTGAGGAACGTCTTGTGGTCCAGCCCATGAGGATGCAAACTATTGCCTTCTCTGTGGTGGCTCCTCAATCGTGGAATTCCCTCCCCATAGAGCTGTTTGTTGTCGCCCCCCCCCGACATTTTTAGGTGCCACCTAAGTGCACTTGTTTGTCCAAGCCGTCAGGAAAGGGTGACTGTTGCTAATCCCTACTTGCAAGGAGTTATTGTCATTTTGCCATGTGTTTTTAATGTTTTGTAAGATTGGACGGTATGCCAATCACCCTGAGCTCCTTCCAAGGAAGGGCAGGGTAAAAATAGAACAAGACAATTAATTAATACTTGGTAAGACTAATGACTCATAAGCACTTCTCTTTTTACCTTTGCTCCTTCTTCTTAGTGTAGGGTCCATTCTCGACTAAAGCACAGGAATGGATCTGCATAGCTGCTTCTCACACGCAAACCCAGAGACCATGTGAGAGGGACCAAAGAATCCCACACGGTCCACTGGTATGTGAAATAATTGCCTCATCATAAGATCCCAGACAATCCAGAGCAATATGAGAAGTGGCTAGGCTTCTGTAACTCCCATGGCACTGGGGTAATGTAGGAAGAGGATTCAAGAGTTCTAGGAAAGTAGAAGTTGTAATTCCTGTCAGGTGACAGCAAAGCGTACCAGATTATGATTAAAAGATGAGGAAATGGGACCCAAGCCCTTAAAAGGTATCAGACGGTCAGCTTCCTCAAGATGAACCAGCTCCCAGCTATTTATTTAGAAAAAAACAAATATGAGCAATCTTTAGTCCATAACTTTAAAGACAACATCATAAGCTTATTCCCAAGGGTCACCACACTCTCATTCGAACCCATTATGTCATGGGTCTTTGTAGCACCCTGCAATTCCAGGCAAACTTTTGGGGAAAGTAATTACTAATATGTTTGTGGATTGCCCCTTAAATTATGTTGATGTCATGTTAGTACGGGACGCAGGTGGCGCTGTGGGTTAAACCACAGAGCCTAGGACTTGCCGATCGGCCACGACTGGACCTAATGGTCAGGGGTCCCTTTACCTTTACCTTACATGTTAGTACAAGTTGCCCACGTGCATGGTAGCACCATAAGACTGCTCAGCCCATTACGCTAAAATCCTGCCTTCCCCACCACAACTGAACCTGAACTAGAGCAAAGGTCTAGATCCTCGCAAGGAATATACTGTAATGCAAACAGCTAGTTAGGAAGAACTCTTTCAAACGCGAGTGTATTTCAGCTGGTTTGAACTCGAACTGCCCCTTCTTTAATGCAATTTATTATTATTATTATTATTATTATTATTATTTCAACTTATAAACTGCCCTATACCCAGAGGTCTCAGGGTGGTTCACAACAAGACCACAACATATAAAATCAAACGCCCACCATCCATGTTACTTTTGATATTGCTATTCTTTCAACAATTTATATACCGCTCAACACTGTAGTTTCCAATAGGAGTCAGCTCTTGATATGTGCAAAAATGAAGGCTAATTCTAAGGCTCAGATACTACAGAAGCTTCTAGAAAGGCTGTTGCTGTTTGAGCTTAAACATTTTTAGGGGAGAGAGGAGGATTCTTGAGTGTCTCTTAAAAGCAATTTAGGAAGCACCCCTTTCATGAGTAATTCCCAGACTATTCCTGGGCACATTAGGGGGATCACAAGAGATTAATTAATTAACTAACAGCTCTCCCTCAAATTGTGTGCCTCTGTTGAGAGTGGGCGCGATTCAAGTTCTTAAGTCATTTTTTATATATAAAGGAGCAGCAGAATTCTTAATCTTCAGAGGAGAGCTGCCTGCTGTGTCTCTGCATGAATCTCTGTATTGGGTTTGCCACCTTTCAATGAAGAGTCACACCTAGGGGAGATCCATAGCAGGGCACTGTTCTTGCTGTCTCACCGATGAGGACAGGGAATAGAGTCTTCTCCCATTGTTGGTGAGGTTTCGGGGCTACCTTAAGACCTAGCAGGTGTTTACTGGGGTTAAAATGGAAGAGTGGGTTCTCTGCTGCTGATACTGCACTGTTTTAATTGACTAATTGTTTTGATTGGTTGGTTTTTTAATTGGTTTTGCTGTTGCTTTAATGAATATTGTAAACCTCCTTGCGATCTTGTTATGTGAAAGGAGACATGAAAACAGAGTAAATATGCAAGTGAGCAAGAAAACAAGTAATTCATAAACCAGGGGTGGTTAGACCACTGTCTGCAGACCATATTCAGATCCACAAGAGGCATAAAAGGAAACACTCTTGGGTGTAAAAGTGTCCGTTCGTCCCCCCCCCCCAATTTAATTTGGTGGGAAGTGCCTCAGCTGAAGTGAGGAGGGGACTACCTTACATATTCCTCTCAAATGTCATGAGCTGCAGGGCCACGTGACCAAGTTCCATGTGGACTCTGACGGCAAGAGATTGTCTCTCAGTGGGAAAATGACTCATGCATTCTATATTAATACTGTGCACATGGAGTAAACAAATTCTAAGACAAGGAGTTGAATCCGCCCAGCCCAAATTTAAATATCTTTACAACGAATGCTGTTCCTTTCATGCTATGTTCACAGTGTTATTGGGACTTTGGTAAAGACTTCTTTTGCTGTGCCAGTTGTTATTTTGTCTAATCTGAGCAATTGCAAGCCACACCCAACCTGAACAATCATGTTCCCACGGGTGACAGAGTGATGCTGGTTCCAGATGATTGGGGATATGATATGATTAAACAAGAGGGAGAATGCCATATTTAGAATTTGTAGGCGGAATTGCAAAGTGGTGTACTAATAACACTATTCCTGGTTTGTTCGTTTGTTTTAAATTCAACGTGCAAGATTTCTGATTTTTCTTTTTCTTTTTACAGGCATGTTCTTGCAGAGCATCCATTTGGAATGCAATAAAGATGTCTGGTGTGTACAACAGGCAGATTTGTTCCTTCATGCAAATATTTATCATGAAGCTCAACACCATCCCAAATCTCCAGGAACTGGATGAAAAGAAACTCAGCCAAGCCTAACAATATTGACTACCAGTGGTTGAGACCAATGCTCTCAGTGTTAACACTGATGTCAGACAATGTATTAATATATATAGATTGTGCCACAAAACAATTTTATTTGCTCTTTGTAGATTTTTAAAAATTATTTTAAAAAATGGATCTGAGGAGGGAGCACACCTAATTTTGATAAACTTTAAATCTTACAGATTCATACTTAGAGGCATCCACCCACCCCTCATCTCCATGTGGATATTTGTGAAAACCTATTAAATCCATGCGGGTGGCGCTGTGGGTTAAACCACAGAGCCTAGGGCTTGCCGATCAGAAGGTCGGTTGTTCAAATCCCCACGATGGGGTGAGCTTCCATTGCTGGGTCCCTGCTCCTGCCAATCTAGCAGTTTCAAAGCACATCAAAGTGCAAGTAGATAAATAGGTACTGCTCCGGCGGGAAGGTAAACAGCATTTCCGTGTGCTGCTCTGGTTCGCCAGAAGCAGCTTAGTCATGCTGGCCACATGACCCGGAAGCTGTACGCCAGCTGCCTCGGCCAATAAAGTGAGATGAGCGCCACAATCCCAGAGTTGTCCGCGACTAGACCTAATGGTCAGGGGTCCCTTTACCTTTTACCTATTAAATCCATCAAGAATACAATTCCCCAAATAAACATTTTTAAAGAAAGGATTTACTCCTAGGAATGGCTATAAAGTACCAAATGGAGTTGATAGAATCATGATAGAGCTGCAATAACAGTTGGGTCGTTATTTCATTGCTGTCTAAAAATGATTCTCCATAAATCCCATAAGAGGCTCACCAGCTATGAGGAAGGAACTATGCACATCAGAAGAACGAACGAGATCCCAAAAGTAGCACAACAAGACAAACAGGAGTACTTATAATGCAAGGTCAGGATTTTCAAAATCCATCAATTAATTTAACACCTGTGTGCCAACAACAACAAATTACCGTGTAATGTTATTTTAAAACTTCCCTCTGGCACAGTTTTAAGTGAGTAGTCTGCAAATGCTATGGTAGCTTCTGTGTGCAAATCCCCATACAAGCACACCCACAGCTGTCATAGAACAAGCAGACAGTGAAATCATTCAAAAAACCCAAAACATAGCCAATGAGATTCACAGGAGGGGATTTTAATGACCTTCCCTGAGCTTGTAATGCAACATGTCAAACTTGCAAGGGAGAACAATGTGTGTGATGTGTCCTAAATATGTTCCCCATTCACTAGCAACAGAAGAAACCTGGGCATGCTCTAGGATGCAATCCCAGTCCACAGTGAGTGGCGGCAAGGTCCAACTGTTGCATGTGTGAATAGGCTACACTCTAGAACAGACTTCCCCAACCTGCTGCCCTGCAGATGTTTTCAACTGCAGCTTCCATCAACCTCACCTAGGGCATCGTAGTCCAAAACATATGGAACCCCAGAACACATTTAGCGGGTGTGCAGGGGGAGGAGAGGGGGAAATTCTGTTGTACAAACCTACCGTAAGTCCTTACACTACGGTAAATTCCCAAATGGATACAAGTCAAGGCTGGGAAAGGCTGCTCTGGTCTGGAACATGGATAGAACTGTTCTTCAAGAGCGCAAGCCTTATCTAGCGGATGCACAGAAACGCCTTGGCTTCTGCGCTCCCTGAAAGTCTGAAAACTACAGTGATATTAAATACTCTGAGAACAGGAATTTGAAGTACATCCAACACCAGCATATACAAAGGAGGATTTTGAGAGACATGCTTGGAAGCAAATCTGTTCCAACAAAGGCTCTGAACAGAGGATTTCCTGTTATGTTAAATGGGGTGGTGCTACTCTAAAAACAGTCCCAAAGGTGAATACTGTGTGAACCTATTAATACCACTACATATTCAGAGAGGGCCCACTAATTCATTAGAAAGCGGTAAAAAAAAAAAAGAGTACGTAGAATGAACTATTAAAAACATACCACTTTATATTTTTAAGAAAAAAATGTCAGCACAATAAAACAATTCAGAATGAAACATTACTGAAAAAAGTCAGATATAAAGTTTAGCTTCAAAGTACATTCATGATAGCGGCCATCACAAATGGGAGCCAAACTTTTTTTATTTCCTTTTTTCCTTCTTTTCCCTTTCCTTTCCTTTCCTTTCTTTACATTCTGTTGTTGTTGTTGTTGTTGTTGTTGTTGTTGTTGTTGTTGTTGTTATCTTCCTTCTCCTTCTTTCCCCCCCTCTTTCTTTGTTTTTGTTTTGGCATCCTGGGTCACTATTGGGATCATACACACATGAAGCTGACCAACAGTTTGTGAAAGACCTTGTGTGAGAGGCAGGGAAGGGAAGATCTCCCAGGGTGGGCGACTGGGAGAAGAAAGGGAAGATCCCAGGTGAGAGCTGGGGGGATCCATCCCTTTCCGTGAGAAACAAGGGTTCAGCTCTACCTTTTAGGAAGGACTATATCTTTCTTTCTTTCTTTCTTTCTTTCTTTCTTTCTTTCTTTCTTTCTTTTTTCATTTAGATTAATTTGTTTTTTAGTGTATTATGAAAAAGCTTCTTTTTTAATTTTTAAAAATGCTTTATTGATTTTAAAAACAACAAAACACAAAACAGTCAACAAAAACGATCCAAAATCGATACTTATTACTAAAAAGAAAAAGAAAAAAGATTTGGGTTCATACATAACTAATTCCAACATGACTTCCAATCCCCCCATTGTGGTTCCTAAATTACATTTTTGACTACACACTTAACTTTATCTCTCCTAAGTTGTTTCAGTTGTATTGGTTTTGTAAAATTCTCTTTTTCTTGCAGAAGTCAATCCAGGCCTGCCAAAGAATTTAGATTTTTACAATGTTCTTTTAGGTATACTCTGTAAATGTCCCACTTTCTATTAAATATTTGGTCCATATCATCTCGGAATCTTGCTGTCAATCTTGTTAACTCTGCATATTCTAACATTTTGCTCTGCCAATCCAATTTAGAACTTCAATAAAAAATAAATAAATGAAAAACAAATGGGAACCAAGCTCGACTTCCACTCAGAAGTGGCACAAGCCCCCTCCCGCTGCTAAAATGCTGCCTGGGGGACCCAACAATGAGAAGAAGAAAAAAATACCTTGAGAAAATGGTGGTGTAGCACTATGTTCCAAGTCTCCCCAATTTTTGGTGCTGGCTTTGGTTACCCTAAGAACCATTTTTTTAAAAGGGTGAATTTCAAAAGCTGATATCAGATACAGTTCCCTTTGAACAAACATGACTAATCCACAAGCCCTTCCTTTCCTTCCTTTCTTTCTTTCTCTCTCTCTTTCCGTCCTAATACTTCAGCTTCCTGGCTCACACCCTGCATTTCATGTTGTCACCGACAGTTTCAGTGAAGACAATAGCTTCCAGCAATGCCTAGTCAAGCCTAGTCACCTTGGTTTAAGAGGCAATAAACGGCAATAAATTTTCTTCCAAGCTGCCTCTTTTCACTGCCTATAGATAAGCCAGGTAGAAGAGGAAGGTGGATCTTGCTTTGTCAGAAACTGCAGGCTCAGCCGTGTTTCTGCTTCCCCCGTGTCTTATTCCACTTATTCCACACTTTCTGAGAGCTTTTTCTTTTGGCCTGCCACTTTCCCCTGCTGTTTACTGCTGAATTGGCTCAAACGACAACCCGCAGAAAACCTGATTTACCTCTGTTACGATTCAGTGGTAAACAACGGGTTTTCCTGGGGCAAAACGACTCAGAGGATTATCTAGTCCATTCCGCTTGCAATGCAGGAATATGCAAATGCCCCAAACAGGGATTGAACCTGCAACCTTGGCATTATCAGCACCATGCTCTAACCAACTGAGCTCTCCAGGCTGTACTCGCTAAACTGTCAATCTTGCTCTTCCCACCCTGCTTCAGTCAGGAGTATTGCCTTTTTTTAAGTGATAAAAGTATTGCAAGAACACTCATATACATACAGTGGTACCTTGGGTTAAGTACTTAATTCGTTCCAGAGGTCCGTTCTTAACCTGAAACTGTTCTTAACCTGAAGCACCACTTTAGCTAATGGGGCCTCCTGCTGCTGCCGCGCCACCGGAGCTCAATTTCTGTACTTATTCTGAAGCAAAGTTCTTAACCTGAAGCACTATTTCTGGGTTAGCGGAGTCTGTAACCTGAAGCGTATGTAACCTGAGGTACCACTGTATCTGTTGATTCTTACTCAGGGTGAAAATTCCTCCAGGGATACGAAGGAAAGGTTTATTGGAGACATAGGGGCCAACTCCCTGGGGCACCCACAAAATTCACCATGAAGGGGCCGGGCACCCACAAATTTCAGTGCCAGGGCCATGCACGCTGCATGGCACTCACAGCCCTGGAAACCCATGGTTGCAAGGCCAATCTGGCACTCCTGCTTAGGAATACCATGAGGTACCAGCCAATCAGAGCTTCCCAATCAGGTTTGCTGCTCATAATATGTCACCCCACATTTTCAACTTGCAGTATTAATTCCTGTAGATGTTCACATGCAGAATAGCCTCAGCTGTCACCTGACAACTTGATCACAAGATCAGGCAGTGGAATACCCCACTCCCTTTCAATCCCATGGCTAAAAGCAAAAGAAAAACCTATGGCATCCATTCAAGTCTTATTAATATTCCCCCCCCCCCCAAGTTAAACAGAATCCTGAATGCATTGTTTCGTAGTCAAAGCTGCTTTCTGTTTTTCACCCAACAAACCAATCCCATCTTTTGTAAGTCAAGCAAACGAAACACCCAACCCTAACCTTTCGGGAATCTGCCATTTCAACAAGAATGATTTTTTTCTAACTGTTTTCAGCTTTCAGACCGCTTTTTCTAAAAGCCTATTCATGTTATTCACATCTGCGTCATCATGCATGAGCTTAAAGACACAGTCTTTCTCTGTGTGTACAAAGGCAGGGAAGGTACAACTGGGTGTGGCTTTTAGCAAATGTTCACGCCATGATTTATGTGCAGAAGACCATCTACATGCAGGTTGCGCACAGCTCCTTGCATGGAAGTGCTTTCTACGCAGGAAATATGTGATTTGTAAACCAAGTGGAACTCATCGAGACTTTAGGAGAATCACCCAAAAACGACAAGAATTATATTTGAGAATAGACTGATGTGTTGGCAATCTGAAGACTGGACTATACTCTCTGTGGGTCTTCCCTTGGGATCGGTCTGGAAACTACAGTTGGTTCAGAATGCTGTGGCGAGGTTGCTGGATGGTGCACCTAGATGCACACATATTACATAAAGGCTGAGGGAACTGCACTGGCTACCAAACAGTCATCAGGCCAAGGTTCGCGGTCTTGTGGTTAACAACTTGGGACCAGGTTACCTGAAAGACCACCAGGCCCTGTAAGATCACTTAGATCAGGGGGATATTTCTGCTCATGGCAACACACCCTACAGAATATCAGAGTGGTGACTCCAAAAAAGGCATTTTCTGCTGTTACCCTTGCACTGTGAAATGCCCTCTCCTTAGAAGCAGCACCCATCAGCTGCTTCTTGGAAAAAGTTATCTTTTTGTCCAGGCTTTACCTGACCCATCCATACAATTGGGCCTTGTCTGATGTGTACAAATCCCCCAAACCTCTCTCTCTCTCTCTCGCTTTTTAATATTTTTTAAAATATTGCTTTCTTGGTTTTAGGTTGTATTTTTGTTTTATTGGTGCTGGGTCCCCAACACTGCCTTGTATTGATGTTGTTAACTTGCGGCATTATCCATTGCTTACCACGCCTCAGAGTGACTTACAATTATACAAATATACATGACACAAAATGTAATATACATCCAAAAAAATAAAAGAATGCCAATTGCCTAAAAGTGTGCAGGCTGCAATAAAGTAAAATGGACAAATTCTACTCCCACCCACCCACCCAACCCTAGTAAAAGATGAACACAGATACAGGCTAGAGTTTCATCATCCCCTATGACCCCAATGAAGACTCAAATATCTGGGTAACCAGGAAAGCCTTTGAGAAAGAAACTTTTTAGAGAGAAACTGGGGGGTGGGGATGATGGGGAGGAAGGGCCTTTGGCTGAGAAGCGGTATAAAACCTAACAAATAAAATTTGTGATTTTGCTGGAAAGAAAGGACTATGCATTCCTATTATTTACAAACCTTTCACATTTCCTTTCGTGGGATGCACTCATTCTCTTCCTGGAAAGCTGGTCTTCCCATCAACAGCCTCTTTTACCACATCAAAATGTGATATCAGCCTCATGGGTCTGACTAAACAGATCTGGAAACCTCATTAAAAAAATCTCCATCCCATTTCAAGGAAGCCTGAAAAAAAGATGTCAAAGCTCCCAGAGCCACAAAGGCAAATAATAAACATTCAAACAATGTACATGGGATATGATGAATTTTGCACAAAGGAGCCTTGTCAGGGTTCCCAACAAGATAGGACTGTCCCCGTGGAAATATGCACCAAGGATCTCATTAGATCTTGAAGGAACTGTGTGCAGGCAGGTGAGAGGCAGGGCTTGCTACTGCCTTCTCCCTCCTCCTCAGGGATATTAGGTTGTAGATGTGAAAATCCTGAACTGAATATTCGAAAAGCCCTATTATCCCATTTACAGCCAATGGGCTATAACCATCACCCTTGAACATGCCCATGCCATTACTGTGAAGGGAGAGGATAGCCTTGCTATCATTGGAAGTTTAATGAAAACAAGCAAGGCTGCATCAAATCATCTCACATTTGAAAATTATAGCAAGGGAACACTCGACCTCTTTAGAAATTCAAGAATGAAACAGACACTTAACATTCTCCAAGTGGCATACAGAATGGAGGCGTGATAGGAAACCTTTTGTCCCTTTCTGTCTGTGGATGGAGAGGCACCAGTCAACAGGTACCCATGAAATTTGTTCTGTGCAACCACAGTCTCTACAGCACTCAGAACAAAGGTTTTTTATTCCTACAATGGCTAATTATATTTTGAGCACTGGAAAAGGCTGTTTCTTCACAGCAGTTCTTCAGGTTATGTGAAATACCCACAACAACCAGGGCAGGGAGAAGCAAATCCAGCCTCCAACAAGTGATTGGATGTAGAAATCTTTAGGTAAAGGTAAAGGGACCCCTTACCATTAAGGTCCAGTCGCGAACAACTCTGGGGTTGCGGCGCTCATTTCGCTTTACTGTCTGAGGGAGCCGGCATTTATCCGCAAACAGCATCCGGGTCATGTGGCCAGCATGACTAAGCCGCTTCTGGTGAACCAGAGCAGTGCACGGAAACGCCGTTTACCTTCCTGCCAGAGAGGTACCTATTTATCTACTTGCACTTTTTGGCGTGCTATCGAACGGCTAGGTTGGCAGGAGCAGGGACCGAACAACAGAAGCTCACCCTGTTGCAGGGATTCGAACCGCCGACCTTCTGATCGGCAAGCCCTTGGCTCTGTGGTTTAGACCACAGTGCCACCCGCATCCCAGAGAAATCTTTAGAAGCAGGTAAAAAAAACTAAGAGTGGCACTAATAGTTTCATTAAGTGCCTCTAAGGATAAAATACAAATGTTGGTTAGGGTTACAGTCACAAGTGCATTTGCATGGGATAATAGCCCCTGTTCAGCTCAGGGCAGAGTGTGCATGTGGACTTATCTTCCAGGGAGACTAGCCCTCTCAACAGCATCCAAAGGAAAATAAAAATATTTTTTTGTATATCAGCTATTGCTTCCTCCTCTTCCTTTCTTTGAGTCACTGACCAAGCCCTTCCTCAATTTTTCCTCCCTGACTGAGCTGTTCGTATCCTCTCCACCCTTCCTTTGTGACCACAAGGGGATTCCGCCCCCCCAATCTCAAACTGGAGGACGGCACGGGGGGAAAACCTAAACAAAGTGAGAAAGGATGCCGTTGGGACCAGGGTGCTATACGCACAGTAAAATAGTTTGTCAGAGATCGTGGGATGTGCTCAAGCAGGCTGGGTAAAAGGGATGGCATTTTCAGCAAGGGATTTGCCCTCTGGTTATCTGATATAAGGTTTTCTCAGTATTAGGTGTAAGGGAAAGCATATCTTCCCTGCCTACTGTAGGGAAGGGAGGCACTTTAGGGCCCCCCAAGTTATTAAGTAGGGGGCTGGGACCCCTCAATTTTGAGCGGTAACATCGCACATGATGTCAGCATTTCGCACTACATCCCTGAGCAGCAACATCGCACATGACGTCACCACGAGCCACTTCAGCACATTGTGCAATGTTGTGACATCAGCGAGTCAACCCCGGAACTGGTTCTCAATGCCACAGTGCGATTCCTGGCATGAAATAAGAATAAATTGAATGTATGTAATAAGAATAAAGGGAAGCATCTCTGCTCAAGTGCAAAATGCATGTCTCTCGTAATTATCTAACATCCCCACAAGGGCTTTGAAATATACTCAAAGTCGAGAGTGGATTTCATGCTCTTTATTCAGCTCATAGTGGTGAGGAGGAATGAATGTCCCCCTAAAGTATCTGCTTTATATACATTATTTACACAATGGGCTGCACGTGATTGGCTAATTCCGGAATTCTCCTGTAGGCCAATCAGGTTGTGGATTCACTTCCACCTGGAGCTGGATTGGGTGGCTCCTGTGGACCAATCAGACTGCTGCATTCTGAATCCTATTGTTTTAGGACCAATCAGACTGCTGCATTTTGAATCCTATTGTTCTAGGACCAATCAGACTGCTGCATTTTGGATCCTATTCAACTCAGTACATAACAGGCTTCTTGATCAGAGACCTTTTGCTTCCAGACCCGCTTGAATAATCTCAGCACTTCTTCCTCTAGCGCTGGATTTTTTTGTGCTGCTGTCAGTATGGTTGGGCATCGAAGCAAACCACTGCAGGTTACAAACAGGATGACACGCCACCCCCAACTTGTTGCGTTCGCAGTGTCCGCTAGAGCTAAGCCTTTGCATTCCAACACATCAGGAGTGGCCAGTCAAAAGCAAACAGCAAAATGGTTGCTAGGCCTCAGGGCAGGAAAGTATCTTGCTGTTCATTCAGTCCATTGCACCTGAGAGGGTGGAGAGACAGGTGAGCTCTCTCAGCTGCCAGGTGCTGACATCCTCAGACCGTCAGCTCTGGACCACTCCCATTCACCCCAGAGATGTTCCACAGCTGGATTTTTAAGGACCTGCCCCAAACCCTCTGCACATCCGCACATAAATGTGTTGTAAACACCCTGGTGTGGCTCCCCTTGGTTACATATACAGCCCAATAAGACAACAACCTAACCCCCACTCCCCACCCCAGTATAGCTCAGTTGGAGCATGGTGCTAAGAACACCAAGGTCGCAGGTTTGATCCCCATATGGGACGGCTGCCTATTCCTGCATTGCACTAGATGATTCTCAAGGTCCCTTCCAACACTATGATTCTATGCTATGGTTAATTTGACCCAACAACCCCCACTCTATCAGATGCCCGAACAAAACTCATTGCGGTCAACTGAATGCAACCAACCATGCCTTGGGCTCTCCAGCCTCTTGCACCACCAACAAAAACAAACAAATAATAACCTATCCACGCAACGCTGACACAAAAACTCAGCACATCTGCTATGCAAAGATCATTATCCCCTCTTCTTTCTCCCCACAACCTCACAATGCCTGTGGCAGTAGCATCTCACACCGAATGCAACTGACCTGTGGAAAATTTGTTAAAGATTGGAAACCGCTCAGATTTTTTTGTGCAAAGATGAAAACGAAATAATGATATCTGGATTTGAGGACTGAAGATAATGTTGTTTTTTTATAGAAAGTGGCTTTTTTGGGTGTTATATTATGGATTGAAGAAAGTGAATATTGTTTTTATATAGCAGACAGATGAAGAATCAGAAGTTCTTTGCTTTCCGAATCTTATTTTTCTGCCTCTCTCTTTTAACCTCTTTAATATTCTTTTTAAAAATTTCTTTCTTGTTCTTTATCTATTCCCCCACCTCCTTTTGTGCTTTTATTGTATCTAGATAAAAAAACTTGGTTTGGTTTAAAAAAAAAAATCAGGAAAAGATATTAAGGTTTATAAACCTTAATAAAAAAATTTAAAAAAGAGAGAAAGGAACACTTACCTGGCAGGGGAGACACCTTGATCATGAAGGAGGTTTTCCCAGGGTGAGGCTCATCCATTGCTGACCCCTGCGATTTCCCCAAATGCGGGAAACTCGACTGCATAATTTGTGGTAGTGGGGAGGGAAAGAGAGAGAGAGAGAGAGAGAAAGGACTCTATGAATTGAAAACAGAGGTATTATATGTACCTTTGTTATCCATGATAATTTTTCAATAAAGACAAATAGAAAGAAAGAAAGAAAGAAAGAAAGAAAGAAAGAAAGAAAGAAAGGGGTTTCGAATTTGGCCAGCTTGTGCATAAATAGCCAGAGCCTTGACCAAGAATGCTGGTGTCTCTCAATACAGTGGTACCTCGGGTTACATACGCTTCAGGTTACAGACTCCGCTAACCCAGAAATAGTGCTTCAGGTTAAGAACTTTGCTTCAGGATGAGAACAGAAATCGTACTCTGGCGGCACGGCGGCAGCAGGAGGCCCCATTAGCTAAAGTGGTGCTTCAGGTTAAGAACAGTTTCAGGTTAAGTACGGACCTCCGGAACGAATTAAGTACTAAACCCGAGGTACCACTGTAACCATTCACGGCTTCCTGAACGGGGCTGCTCCATTTGCCTAGCAGATCAGTGCATTTTGAGCAGGGCCTTTTTTTCCTAGAGAAGAAGGTGCCGGAACGCACCTCCCTCAGAAGACCTGCCCCAGAGCCCTGGGGGAGGGGCGGTCTCCTCACCAGCCAGAGGCTCGTTGAGGTTGCTCGGCTGAGGAGAAAGGAGCCATCTTCGCCTCAGCTGAGCGGCTTAATGAGCCCCACCCTCCGCACCTGCCCGTCTCACGTGAGCCGGAGCAGCATGGGGGACTCGCTTGGCCGAGAGCGGAGAGGCTTCTGCACCTGGCTGAGCAGTTAATGAGCCCCCGCCCCTCGTCAGCTCATGAGTAGCAGCAGCGCAAGGCTTCATTGCCTCAGCTGAGCAGCCTAATGAAGGCCCTACCCCCACATCTCTCCGATTCGTGGGGAAGGGGGCTTGCTCAGCTGAGGCAAGGCTTTCCCGGGCACCAGCTGTTAGCTGGGGGCCCGAAAAGCCTCAGCAAAGTCCCGCTGCACCTCCGGCTCATTACTTACCACACTTTTCTGTGTATAAGATGCAGGGTTTTTTTATTTACCGTATTTTTCCCTCTATAAGACACACTTTTTCCCCTTCAATTTTTTTTAAAAATATTTTTTAAGTTTTCCATTTAACAATCCAATCATATCACATTAATTATTCCAAATTATACCAATACATATCATAAAGTCCAAATATTTTGCCAAATTATATATTTTTGTTGGGGGTTCCCATGCTTCGAGTTCAGTAAGGGTCCAATCATCTCATATTTCTGCTGCTTTTAGTATCCACCAATCCCATCTTTCAATCTTCTTGTTTCCCCTTCAAAAATTAAGGGGTAATGTGTGTGCATCTTATGGAGTGAATACAGGCTCCTTGGCTTCAGCAATAGCAAGGCGAAGCCTCCGAGCGCAGAGGGAGAGCTCCCCCCGCGCTCCGGAGGCTTCGCATTGCTTTCGCTGAAGCCGCCTGAAGCCCCCGGAGTGCAGCGGGAACTCCGGTTCAGCACGAGTTCCCGCTGCGCTCCGAAGGCTTGCGGATAGCCACCTGAAGCCTGGAGAGCGAGAGGGGTCGGTGAACACCAATCCCTCTTGCTCTCCAGGCTTCGCTTTGCTGGAGAGGCGCTGCACAGTTTTCCCTTTCTGCGCAGCACCCCTTCAGCGAAGCGGGAGGAGAAATGGAAGGGGCTCCGTTTCTCCTGCCGCTTCGCTAAAGGGGCGCTGAGCAGAGAGGGGGAGAATTCCCTCTCCCCTGTTCTCCCTCTCCTATGGTCCAGTGCATCCTATAGAGCGAAAAATACGGTAAATATTATGTTAAAAATTAGGGGTTGTCTTATACACGGATAATTCATTGGGGGGACGTGGGATTGGTTGCTGCCGCGAGGCGGAGATTGTCAGCGGCTACTGGGCGTGCTATTGGTGGCCGCGGCAAGGGCTGGTGTTGATTGGCTGCTGCTGTGGCAATTGGGCGGGCGATTGGCAGCTTCTGCCGGTGAGTGGACAGGCGATAGGCGGCTTTTGCGGTGCATGCGAGTGGCAGCATAGGTCAGGCGGGTGAGCGGTTTTCGGCAATCCCTCCTAAAAAAAGGGTGACACCCCCAAGAAAAGCTCAGCAACTCTGGGCAATATTTTCTTAATTTGGAGTCCCCCAAAATAGGGGGCATCTTATACATGGGGCCATGTTATACACGGAAAAATACGGTACTTACTTACTTACTGAGTTTATATACCGCCCTATACCCGGAGATCTCAGGGCAGTTCACAGAAAAGATCACGACATATATAATCAGAATAAAAACAACAACCCAATAACACCACCCTGCACAGAAAAGAGCCACATTTTAAAAGGGTATAGGATGTCAAACAGATCAACCAAAAAATTGTCCAGTAGCACATGAAAGCTTATACCAAGAACAAACTTAGTTGGTCTCTAAGGTGCTACTGGACACTTCTTTATTTTTTAATATATTTCGACTGTGTGTGTCAGACCAACACCTACCTGAATCTAGATCAACCAAAGGCCTGGCTACAAAGGGACGTTTTTTGCCTGGTGCCTAAAGGTGTGGAATGAAGGCGCCAGGCAAACTTCCCTAGAGAGAGCATTCAGCAGACGGGGAGCCACTGCAGAGAAGGCCTGTTCTCATGTTGCCACCTCGAGGAGGGCGTCAGAAGATGATCTCAGGGTCTGGGTAGATTCATATGGAAAGAGGCTACCCTTGAGCTATTGCAGTCCTGAGACCCTCTCCAGAGCCCGTAGAGGGTGTCCTCGTGAGCTGGAGACGCTGCGGGGCTTTGCTGAGGCTGGTCAGGTCTCCCCCTGCCCCATCTCCGGGGCCCAGCTGAGAAATGCCGGAACACTGTTCTGGCACGTTCCAGCTGAAAAAACAACCCCTGTGCGTGAGATAGATGCCCCTTTTCAGTTGGAAAGCAGAGGAAGGAGCCCCGCTCCTATGGATGATATGGTTGTACTGAGCAGTGGCAGGACTTTGTGGCAGAAGACCAGGGCTCCGCTCAGCAGAATGAGCAGAAGTTCTACCACCCCACATGAAGCAGGGCTTGCTTGTTCCATTTTGGAGTGATGCCCTTTGCCATCTTAAGTCACACAAGGGCCTGAAAGACCATTAAGTCCTGAGTCTAAAATGAATGAATGGCACTGCCAATACACCCGGCAGCGAGGGAGCAAAACTGCAGCAGCAGACCCTGTCTCCAGCTTCTAGGTATTCCTTATGGCACCGTCTGCACAATGCCTTTAAAGCATAATCATGCCACATGGCTTCCCAGGATTCTGGGAACTCTAGCTGCTAAGGATGCTAAGAGTCGCCAGGAGTTGCCAGGAGACACCCTATTCCCCTCAGAGAGCTACAATTCCCACAGTTCCCTGGGAAAATGGGTCTATTGTTAAAACCACTCTCAGAAGTGTAATTTTGTGAGGGGAATAGGAGTCTCCTAATAACTCTTGTGAGCTGGACCATAAAGAAGGCTGATCACTGAAGAATTGATGCTTTTGAATTATGGTGCTGGAGGAGACTCTTGAGAGTCCCATGGACTGCAAGAAGATCAAACCTATCCATTCTGAAGGAAATCAGCCCTGGAAGGACAGATCGTGAAGCTGAGGCTCCAATACTTTGGCCACCTCATGAGAAGAGAAGACTCCCTGGAAAAGACTCTGATGTTGGGAAAGATGGCGGGCACAAGGAGAAGGGGACGACAGAGGACGAGATGGTTGGACAGTGTTCTCGAAGCTACCAGCGTGAGTTTGACCAAACTGCGGGAGGCAGTGGAAGACAGGAGTGCCTGGCGTGCTCTGGTCCATGGGGTCACGAAGAGTCGGACACAACTAAACGACTAAACAACAACAACAACAACAACAACTCTTGTCACCCATAGTAAAGAACTAGTTCCCAGCAACCTTAGAAAACCACAGTTCCCTGCAGTCTCCATAATTACTTAAGTGTTATGAGTCCTTCCAGTGTAGACTTGACCACGGACTCACACAGTTTGCATATGACTGCTGGTTTCTTTGTCATGGGACTGTATGTTTTTACCCCCGTCCCCACTTCTTCTTTCCATCTGAGCCAGAAGCAGCATTCTGGGGTTATTAACAAACAGGAATAAGGTGAACTGAAACTTCATCGGGAAACATCAGCACATTACATAAGGTTTCAGCTGCCCGTCTCCCCTTTGCAAAATAACGTGGCCGTTCAGTTATGCCAGCTCCCTTTGGGAATTCCAGCTGAAGCAAAGGTTCAGCGTTTACCAATGCTGTGCTTTGGAATTTGCTATGTAGGTTTTCTCTTTCTGAGCAATGCACTGGAAGGAACTGCTGAGTCAGCTGCAGCATGGTGTTTTAGAGATTTTAGAGGTCTCCACCACACAGGAGGTTTTTTTAATTTGTTGTTGTTGTTTAGTCGTTTAGTCGTGTCCGACTCTTCATGACCCCATGGACCAGAGCACGCCAGGCACTCCTGTCTTCCACTGCCTCCCGCAGTTTGGTCAAACTCATGTTTGTAGCTTCGAGAACACTGTCCAACCATCTCCTCCTCTGTCTTCTCTTCTCATGAGGTGGCCAAAGTATTGGAGCCTCAGCTTCATCATCTGTCCTTCCAGTGAGCACTCAGGGCTGATTTCTTTAAGAATGGAGAGGTTTGTTCTTCTTGCAGTCCATGGGACTCTCAAGAGTCTCCTCCAGCACCATAATTCAAAAGCATCAATTCTTCGGCGATCAGCCTTCTTTATGGTCACTTCCATACATCACTATTTAAATTTTTTTATTTAGTGATAAAAGATTGCTGTATCCAAATTCCCAATCATGTTTGCTTTCAAGAGAACCATCTGTGGAATCAGAGATAATACACAGGGCCTGGTCCAGCCAAACTCAAACTCAAAATCAGTCGCCGATTTAAATGGTTTTGATGTCTTGTTAATTTAAAAAGGTTAAGTATGGGCTTAATTTCTCCGTTTTAAATGAGCAGAATTTAAAAGAGCTTGTATGTGGCTGGATGGTGCCCAGTTTTAAAGAAACAATCAGAGGCGACCTATGCTGATGAGGCATGAGATCAGCATTCAAGTATTCCGAAGTCATTTTCACTTGAGATTAATCGTAATGATTCACATTTGTTTCATCAGAGGCCTTACCTCCAGGTGTGTTTACCAAATGAGGAGCAGCGGGCATCTATTAGGAGCGGGAACATCTTGGCAGTGGCACCAAAGACGTGGAATGCCCTCCCTGAGGGAGGAACCAGTCACAGACACAATGCAGTTTTAGATGGCAGCCAAAAAAGAAAGAAAAAAGGCTCTTTTGTTAAGCATTTAAGCTAACTTAATTGCTATGGTATTAAGGTTCACTCTTTGCTGCTTCTAGTTTTTGGCATCCTTATCATCGTTTCGTTATTGAAATGTTTCTTGCAGTATTCAATGCAAATGTAGATCACGAATAAGAGAAAACCAATGTATATTATCAACAAACCCCATATAACATGTTAAAACTTTATTGGGGTGCAAATAGTCTGCAAAACCCCGATATGCTTTGTAAAAAAAAAAAAAGTGAAATGTTTGGTGTTGGATAAGATAAATAATCTTCACAGTAGCTCATGGCGTCTTCCCCCTTCTTCCCCCACCTCTAAATTTCAAAAGGTTGCGTAACACACAGCTTGTGGGGAGGGGGGGAACAGCATCTTGTATGGTCAATTGGTCTTTAATGGCTGGCACTGAGTTCTCCTTGTGTTCTTAATGGCCTCGCTATCAGCTATTTCCTGAACAGGAGAACTGGTTCAACCTGTATTTTTCACTGGCATGGCATCTTCCCTTCATAATAATAATTTAAAAAACCAGCTAAATTCTAAAGCTTTATTAATTTCTAACATTCACTAACTCTAGCAGTTATGGGTGCCCTGGCACCCACAAACTCTGTTACCCCAAATCTGTAACATTATTATTATTATTATTATTATAATTATTATTAAAATACCGTATTTTTCGCTCTATAAGACACACTTTCTCCCTCCTAAAAAGTAAGGGGAAATGTGTGTGCGTCTTACAGAGCGAATGCAGGCAGGAGGCTCTGCTCAGCGCTCCCTTTAAAGAGCCACGTGGAGCGTGTGTGTGGCTCTTGGGGGCTTTTCCCCGAGGAGGGAGAAGGGCTGCCCTTCTCCCTCCTCGGGGAAAAGCTCCCAAGAGCCGTACACACGCTCCACACGCTCTTTAAAGGGAGCACGGCTCTTGGGGTAGCCTTCCTACTGTTGCCCGGAAGAGGCTGTGCGTGGCTATCCCATAAGCCAGGACAGCAAGCGGGATCGCCAGGCAGGGATCCCGCTTGCTGTCCTAGCTTCTGCCCTAGCCGCATGCAGCCTCTTCCGGGCAGGGGGAGCCTTCATCCCCCTGCCCGGGAGAGGCTGCACGCGGCTATCCCAGAAGCCAGATCCCTCTTGCTGTTCTGGCTTCTAGGATTCAGAATATTTTTTTTTCTTGTTTTCCTCCTCCAAAAACTAGGCGCGTCTTGTGGTCTAGAACGAAAAATACGGTATTTTTTATTAAATATTTCTTAGTTCACAAAAATATGTGTGTTGCCTCTTTTTTTCAACTTGTGTTTTTCTACAGATCCGTTTCATTTGTTCTGCATACAGTATTAGGTTGGGAAGAAAAGAGGGGGAAAGGGGAAAGGGGAATGGTGAGTGGGGTGGGGTCCCAATGCTTCTATTCTTCTACTTAGTGTATGTGTGGGGTTTTGTGTCAGCGTCACTTGTGAAGGTTCTCTTTCTATTCATAGAATCATAGAATCATAGAGTTGGAAGAGACCACAAGGGCCATCGAGTCCAACCCCCTGCCAAGCTTGTTATATTTCCTTGGTAGTGAGGGAGGTTGGGGGTGGCCTAGGCTAGGGTGTGGTTGCTTGTCTTTGGTTTGGAGATTAAAAGAAATGTGACAGTGATTTAGTTTACGGACTCTTTCTTCAGAAACTGGGGTGTTGCATTTATGAAGCCGGATCTCTCTTCCAAGCACAGATCTTTCTTTAAAAAAGATTGTCTCAGATTAGAAGACAAACTACACAGTGGACACCAAAGGAGAAAATGTTAATTTTTAAATAATATTAGCTCTGGCCTGTAGTGACTCTTGAAGGGCCGGTCTACCATTGCTTTCAGTGAAATGCTGTTTTCTGAATAAGATATTCAAGGCAATTATATATACCTAGATGCTTAATTTGGGACGAGAAACAGGTGAAAGGCCACTGTTGGAGGTTCTGCCTGACAAATTTTCAGGTTTAGACCAGTAGTTACACAGCAGAAACATTCAGTTTACTCAAACCATAACTTCCCTGCCAAGTCTCTAGGACAAACCAGGGCTTATCTTTCAGTTGCTGTCGAAAGTAACGCTTGCAGGGCTTTGATCCAAGGAGAGATCCGTTGCCAAATAAATAGCTGAGCAAAGAGCTTGAAGTAACAGAATTTATGTACAAAGTGATAGGTGCCATTCGTTCCGATCCACAAGCACATCTTGCCTCCCATGCCAGATTCTTTAAGAGGCTGCTGTTATTTGGATCATTAAAAAGGGTTAAGGTTCCTCTGATTTAATCCAGCTCCCTCCCCCCCCCTCTCTCTCTCTCCATCCTGGAGTACTGAATTACTATGAAGGCAATGGAAGCAGTTAGCGTGGGGAGGCACAGGTCACTGACTGAATCATCAAGAACCACTTCCTTCAGCTGCTGGGTTTCTTTGTTTAGCTCCCATCTTCCTGCTTGATACACCTGAAATTGGAGGAGAGGAGAGTCTGGGGTGAGATAAGACTGCAGCAGGCACAAAGAATGTATGCTAAGCAGCACATCCTTCACACAGGAAGTGGGAGTTCTCCCATTCCGGGGGAAGCATTACTCAATTGCCATCAATCTCAGTGTGAGCTCACTGTACAATGCTAATACAGCCACTTTCTTCCTGATAGGGGGGCTTATGCGACATAGTCTTTGCTGAGCAGATAACCCACCTTTCTTCCAAGGAATTCGAAGTGGTGTACATCATTCCCCTCCTGCCCTCAATCGTATCCTCACAACAACCCTATGAAGTAGGCTTGGCTGAGATGATGCAAATGGTCCAAGGTCCCCCAGGGAGCTTCGTGGCTGAGTGAGGATTTGAAGCCAGGTTTTGCCCAGGTCCTAGTCCAGGAGTCCTAACTCCACCATACCAGACCTTCCAAGTGCCCCTATTTTCCAGGGACGTTCCAGATTTACAGAAGCCATCCCAGTTTCTTATTTGATCCCAGAATGCCCTGCTTTTCCTTAGGTTGTCTCCATTTTCACTGGAGAAATGTTGGAGGGTATGGAGTTGTGCTACAACTCCCTGACCGTTGGCCATGCTGGCTGGAGCTGATGGGAGCTGGAGAGGGGACCAGAAATTCCCAAACGCCTCACCTAGGCAGTTCGTCGCTAGGGATAAATGTGCAACTATTCAGAAAACAAATAAATCCCGCGAATTATCTGAAGAATAGGCAGCTCATGCACCCTTGGAGATGGCCCAAATAATTTTGTAACCTTAGCTCAATGGGGTGTTAGGGGAGGGGTATTACCTCTCGTGGAGGACACATTGTGCTCCTTCTGGGATAGTTTGTCCAAACTTTGGATGGTGTCTTGTATGCCTCATTCCAGCAACTCCTGCAGCCAAACTGGTGACAAACACTGTTCTGCTTTCCTTTGGACCACATCAGTGAGGCAGAGAGAGGGTGCTTGGCATCTGGGCAGCCCAGGAAATCCAAACAGGATTGTCCGGGATTGTGCCCCAGGAGGTCACTTCGGTGCTTTTAACACAGTGGTTTGACTTCACCCCTGGAGGCAGACTCCATTGTCCCATGAGATAAATGGATGTGAACAACAAAAAAAGCTCAGTGGTTCACAAACTTTTTTCCCAGAATAAAAATTTGCTCATGCCACACATTTTTTTTTAATTGATAAGAAACAGCTCCTAGCCGTGCTTGATTTATAACATAGAAATTATAATATAATAATGGATATCCAGAAAGTATAAAACAATTCAGCTGCATAATGACGTGAATCATTCCCAAAATATAATTATAAATGAGCCTCTTACACATGTACTTTAGTATGCATACAAATTCAATGAAAGGTGTGAGCTTGCTTTTGCTGGGTAATCTCATTTATTTGATTTGAGACAAACTCATCTCCTCACCAACCCAAAGAAGCCTTTCTCTTTTCTGATCTCACATTTGTCAGAGTTGACAATCCCTGTTCACAACAGGATGTCATGGACTACTGAAGAAAAATAGCCAATGCTTTTGAAGAAAGGTGTGGATAAAAAGTTAAAGGTAAAGGACCCCTGGCAGTTAAGTCCAGTCGCAGACGACTCTGGGGTTGCGGCGCTCACCGCGCTTTACAGGCCGAGGGAGCTGGCGTTTGTCCACAGACAGTTTTTCCGAGTCATGTGGCCAGCATGACTAAGCTGCTTTTGGTGAAACCAGAGCAGCGCATGGAAACACCATTTACCTTCCTGCCGGAGTGGTACCTATTTATCTGCTTGCACTTTTGGGCGTGCTTTCAAACTGCTAGGTTGGCAGGAGCTGGGACAGATTAACGGGAGCTCACCCCATTGTGGGGATTCGAACCACCGACCTTCTGATTGGCAAGCCCCAGAGGCTCAGTGGTTTAGACCACAGCACCACCCGCGTCCCTTGGCTGTATATATATATATATATAAATTTGATACTATGCTATGCTATACTACACTTAAATGCTTCCGTGTTTCTTTGATTGCCCTTTAATCTTCTGGCAACGCTTGCCACCCTCTCCTGCCACACCTTACAAGAACCAATGCCTTAACTAGAGCAGCAATTGATGCCCCCATATTACCCAAGAGCCAGTTGCTTTATTTTGGCATCTGAGACCGATTCCATTTCTCATCCTTCCTAAGAGGAACAATACAATAATAAACTAAATAGCTAACAATTTGCTGTCCTTTTACGATGCTGAAAATTAGCCGTCTGAGGGCAACCGTTTCACATTTTGACTTGAGAACTGTTTAGTCAAATCTACCTGCCACCGAGTGATAGCAGTCACGAAATTAAAAGACGCCTACTTCTTGGGAGAAAAGCGATGGCAAACCTAGACAGCATCTTAAAAAGCAAAGACATCACCTTGCCAACAAAGGTCCGTATAGTTAAAGCTATGGTTTTCCCAGTAGTGATGCATGGAAGTGAAAGCATAATGAAGGCTGATCGCCAAAGAATAGATGCTTTTGAATTATGGTGCTGGAGGAGACTCTTGAGAGTCCCATGGACTGCAAGAAGATCAAACCTATCCATTCTGAAAGAAATCAGCCCTGAGCGCTCACTGCAAGGACAGATCCTGAAGCTGAGACTCCAATACTTTGGCCACTTCATGAGAAGAGAAGACTCCCTGGAAAAGACCTGATGTTGGGAAAGATGGAGGGCACAAGGAGAAGGGGATGACAGAGGACGAGATGGTTGGACAGTGTTCTCGAAGCTACCAGCATGAGTTTGACCAAACTGCGGGAGGCAGTGGAAGACAGGAGTGCCTGGCGTGCTCTGGTCCATGGGGTCACGAAGAGTCGGACACGACTAAATGACTAAACAACAACAACAATAATGATAGGGCCACTCAGTGTGCCCTGTTCTATTTCTTGGATGCTTACTTTTTATTAAATAAAACCATTCCTTTGAAGTCTTCCACGGCAAATTTAACTTATGAGTGATAAAGCATATGGAATTCAAGTAGGCATGAAAAGGAAAAAAAATCTGTTAACACATCTAATTTTGTCCCTGAGCACATTGCAGATGAAAAACTAAATATTCATTTCCTCTTCCAGCATGGGATTTTTCTTTACTTTTCCAAGGTAATGAAGAACACCAATTGCTAATCAAGTATGCCGGCGAGGGTCTGGATGAAGATCTAGCTCCAGACACGTACGATACAATACTATGGATGATACGCCTTTCTGTAGTGAAACTGCAATTCACAACGCTTTAGAAATCCCCTCATTGAGTCACTTGTGACTTCTGTTTGCAAAGAGTTAAATGTATGGGTTTTTTGGTTTTTTTCAACTGAATCCCCCTAGTGGTGCAAACCTCCAGGCAGTGTGGAATGATATCACTCTTGTCATCAAGCTGGAATGCATCATAGGGCAGAGCCGTCCAATCAGGGCTCTGTGTGAGGGTTTATATAGAGTTATGTTTCCTCTGCAGAACAGTCAAAGTGAGCACACTGAGAGGCTAAGCCTTCCGCTATAGCAATATCATCACAGAGCACAGCACAGTTTTGCCACTGTTGTTCCATCTGGTAAGTCCAACACCTTTAAATCTTAGTTATATGAAATATAATTATATTAACTATTGCCCACACACAAGTTTTAAAGAGCCCCGATGAATGATGGCTGCAACTTTTTAATGCCGAAGACTTTATTCTCTTTTCAGTCATCTCAAAGCCATTGTTGTGGTGCTCCCTTTTAAAGCAATAAACACCTCTTTGCAAGAGGCTTGATTGTACATGCAAAAGAGTCTTGCAAGGTCTGGAATATGTTTTTCCAAACAAGATTGGCAATTTAAAAAGAATAGACTGCTGTGATTATACTTAACGCGAATATGTTTTTGTTATGTTTGTCTGCTTGTGTTTTAATACCACTTATTGAATCTTTTCCTGCTGTAATATGGTCTGTTTTGGTTTTGAACCTGCATTAGATCTTAGGAAACAATATCTGATTGCAAAGAAACTGTGAACGTTTGGGGCTAAAGGCTAAACACAATTTCAGTGTGTTCTGACATGTCAGTTTCCATCCAGGCAGTTTTGTCATTGCTTGTAGCTTTGTGTTGCTTTGGATTTACATTCATATAATTACGCCGAGTGCTTTTAGAAAGAATGGGGTAGACTTCTATCTGCCAATTTTAGAATTTTTAGCTGCGGATGAAAGACACACAAGCGATTTTTTTCAGCGTCTCTCCTCTTGCTGTTCCCTTGTGACCGTCCGGCATGATCTGGTTAAGGGAGTCAAATGCATCTATCTTGCACTTTGAGGCGATTGGATCTGCCTTTTAGATTTCATTGGGATTGTGCAGCTTTTTCAATTTGCACTTAGAACTTCGGTCCTGCAGAACATTTGGGCAGAGGCTGAGCAGGCGCGAAGGCAGCTCCCTGATGCTCCGATGTGATTCCATGTGCCCTGCTATTGCCAACCCGCACCTTGAGCCCTCTGCAGTGCAGGCAGGCTCAGGCACTGGGCTGATGCCTCTGGGAAACAGAGCATGCAGCATTCTTGCTCAGCAAGCCAGTGCTCTTTGAACAGGAGCCAGCAAATAAGCATGGCAGACGTGGCCGTAGTAAAAGTAATGGGCAAGCTGCCATTGACAAAGCCAGTAGTCAAACTTCTCATTCACATATAAGGTGTGGAAATACCTGCCCTGTATCTATGATAGAGGGCTTGATGGACAGGAGAAGGCAACATCGATACCCTACAACATTTATCTGGTGAAAATAGGGACGTCCTATTCCATCATAATAATAATAGTAATAATAATAATAATAATATTTATACCCCGCCCATCTGACCGGGTTCTCCCAGCCACTCTGGGCAGCTTTCAACATATAAAACCCCCGCAATAAAACATTTAAAAACTTCCCTACACAGGGCTGCCTTCAGATGTCTTCTAAAGGCTGTATTGTTACTTATCTCCTTGGCTCGGGGGCCACACAACTCCATACCCTCCAACATTTCTCCAGTGAAAATAGGGACGTCCTAAAGGAAAAGCGGGGCATTCCAGGATCAAATCAGAAACAAGGGTGGCTTCTGTAAATCCAGGACTGTCCCTGGAAAATAGGGTCACCTGAATAGTCTGCTACATCAGAAGAGGGAGAGGGCAACATCTTGATGCCTAAGAGGGACCGGGTGGTTAATATCTGCCCAATGAGTACTTCCTAGGCAGGATTCAGTCTCAGCAATATTTATCAAGCAGGTTTGAATTTGCACATAATACAACCAATTTGCCTATACCAGTGAGCAATGGTTGGGATCTTTGTTTTCGTTTTAATTTGAGCAGGTGGTAGCCGTGGTTTGCTTGGTTTCAGCGCAGCTGTGCCCTGCCTTGGCTAAGGTCTGGAAAGGCGCCACTTACTGGTAGTAAGAAAGGTGTCTCTGAGGAGATGGTCCTGTCGGGATTCCAGCCCTCAATAGCTTGGGCTGGTGTGAGTCACATGCCAGCGCAGGGTGTTCACCTTGTAGACATGCTGGTCAGGGATCGCTCCAATCAGAGAGTCAAGTCTGCGTGGGTGTCAGTGGCCAAGTGAGCGAAAGTCAGCCAGGGAAAGCAGAGGGGGAAAGTGACAACCTGTGCAATGATCAGCGTTTCGATCACTAGGAAAGCTGAAGGCTGCTTGGAGCTTGAGAACGTATAGCAGAAGCAGGACAGACCAAGCAGATAGGCAGTCCTGATGCAGGAGCTTGTCAGCATAACAGGACACCCCTATGCAAGTTGCTGAATCCCTTGAAATTTCTGTTCTCCTCATGCAACTGTTTTACAGCCCAGTAAAGGTAAAGGTAAAGGGACCCCTGACCATTAGGTCCAGTCGTGGCCGACTCTGGGGTTGCGGCGCTCATCTCGCTTTATTGGCCGAGGGAGCCGGCGTACATCTTCCGGGTCGTGTGGCCAGCATGACTAAGCCGCTTCTGGCGAACCAGAGCAGTGCACGGAAATGCCATTTACCTTCCCGCCGGAGTGGTACCTATTTATCTACTTGCACTTTGATGTGCTTTCAAACTGCTAGGTTGGCAGGAGCTGGGACTGAGCAACGGGAGCTCACCCCGTTGCGGGGATTCGAACCGCTGACCTTCTGATCGGCAAGTCCTAGGCTCTGTGGTTTAACCCACAGCACCACCCGCGTCCCTTTACAGCCCAGTACTGTACTGTAAATCATGAGATTCAGCAAGGGTTGCTCCTAAGTGAGTGTGCATAGAATTGCGGCCATGCAGCCCGATCCTACGCTTTCTTACTCAGAAGTAAGTCCCACATTTGTCCAATGGGATTTTATTTCACTGCACTTTTGCTTTCCTGTTTTTAACTTCGTGAAAATTACAAACTGGAGGTGAACGAGTTAAAACTGATATTTTAAGTCTCCATCATCAGCCTTTTGCACAGCTTACCCCTTAATCCTCGGTTTCAACAGAAGGGCTGCCTGAATCAAGCAGGTGGTGGTTTGTCACCAAATTTGGCAATAGATGCGCCCGTTTATTTCCAAATTCCTTCCTGAAACATTGCGCTTTGTCCCTACATGCAGAGATGAAATAACCTCAGGCTTTTTTGAGAATGAGTTCATCCCTTCGTGAAGTTAAGGCGCCAGCTTTTAATGGAGCAATCTCCTGCTATGTGCGCGCACACTTTCTGTAAGAGAGAGGAGAATCTCTGCCAGATTGATTTAAAGCTCAATAATTATAGTCTACCACTTATACTTTGAAATCAAATTAACAAATTGCTAATTACCGACAGCCTGCTAAATGATTGCCATGATTGGTAAAAGGGATCACTGAGGTGTTTCTTCATTCACAGCACAATCATATGTTGGTCTGTTTGGAAGAAAGTCTCACCAAGTTATTATTATTTATTAAATTTATATACCACCCTTCGGCTGGGGATTCCAGGGCCACTTACAGTATAAAGCCACAAAACACATAACATGCTAACAAACTAAACAATACTCCCACCATAGGATTTACTTCCAGGCAAGTGTGATTGCAATATGACCAGTGCTTTCCCTGAGACTGACACAGACCCTCGCAGTGTAATAATCCAAAATGCCACTTAGGTAGGAGTATGTTTCACAGAAATCAATGGGGCATTTTCATATCACATATTTGGAACAGGGGGTATTGCATTAGTTCGGCTCTTCTCTAATCATTCGGACAAAAACGGAGCTCAAGAGAACACTATTTCCTCAAAATACAAAAACTGAGGGAGGAATCCAGGTATAAAGAGCAGGATTTTGTCTTGTGGAAAGGGGGAGAAATTGCACCAGGAATTGCCTGTTATGCTTATTTCTTGTGATTAGACAATAGGCTGGTGACAGACGATCAAAGGCAACTTGATACTGATAATGTTGCTCTCGGTGTACACACATTTCCATTATAATTTCTGGCCGAGCAGGTTTTCAGAACACTACAGAAATCTGTGAAACCAGTGGTGCATCGTGGGATGACAGGCAACAATGCTTTCAACTTTCCGGGAAAAACTCGCATCTGCCTCCAGAGCTAGGACCAGGGCTGGGGCCACTGTGGTGGATCAGAAGAGCCTTGTGTGTTGATCACCCTGTTTGCTACCAGGTGTTGGAGAGAAGGAAGCAGGAAGGATTAAGGAGGACCAGACAGGTGGGACCTGAAGACACCATGCTGCTGATGGTTCTCCCTTGATAGACACCCTCAGCTTCAACCTGAGTTTGGGACAGGGAGAGAGAAAGGCAGCTTAACACATCCCCTCACCAATGAAAGGCTATTCAAGTTGGAAAGAATGGGGGAAGAACCAGTTTGGTCCCATCTTTGTTCCACATTACAAACCTGAGCTTATTCCTTTGCTTGCAGAAACCTGTGTAAAGAAGGACCCAGGAAGTGAACCAAACTGGTGGAAATAGGAACCTGTTGCCCAACGCCATGAAGTTACTCATCACCATCTCTGTAATGCTGAGCATTCTCGTCACAGACATAGCATCAGTAAGTTTTGCAACCGTGGCAGGAACTCCAACTGACAAGCGCTTGTGCATATTTCCATGTTTGACCATAAATGCAAAGCTTCCTCTTTCACCCATGGCCCAAGCCTATTTTTAGCAACGTCTTTCTTTTTTGGTTACTGCTGGTACGTGCAGGAGGTTGTACTCTGGGATATATAACCTGATAAATACTTTTTTACATATTTATTTCAAAGCAATACGTGTACCTCAACGTTTCCTTCCTTTTGATCACCTCTCTGCCCTTTCCATCTCCCAGTCCGTACAACACACACACAAACTAGACTTCTTCCTCTGCTCTTCTCTCCTCATTTCTCTGGACTGCTTCTTCTAACCCGCCCTTTAAAGCTATCCCTTCTCCCCTTGCTTTTTCAAGCAACTGTCTAGCTCTTTCCCAAACCCTTGGTTCTTCTGCTTCCTCCTCCACCTCGCCCTTCTGCCTGCTTCTCTCTTAGATAATAGAATATTAGATATGATTCTGCCTGCCCCACGCTATGTGACTTAGCTGCAGAAAGTCTCTTCTCCACAAAATTATTTTATAAGAATTATGGAACACATACCTACATACATACATGTAGTCCAAGCTACCCCTGATTTAATGCACAGCAGTACACATCTGCAGACGCCACCCATTATATATGACTGGACTACAACTTTCATCTGCCCCAACCAGTATGGACAGTGGTCAGGGATGATGGTCCAACAAGAACTGAGAACACCATGTTGGTTAGCCCTGCTTTACACCCTAAAGCTTAGCAAAATCATCTGTAAGAAACTGCCCTACCTCTCCGGGTTGTTATGAGGGAAATGAAAATAAGGGGAGGGGGAGTTATTTAGGATTAGCTTCATCTAAATAATGCTTCCTTATTTTTCCTTTAGAATAATTTGTGTCTGTCTTTGTTCCCTCTTAGTTTCACCACCGGAAGAAAGATCGCAGGCTGGGAAGCAAAGCTAAATATGAACATAAAGGTAAAGAAATCTTTGCAGCTTTTTGTTGACATCTGAAAACTACTGCTGCTCTTTGACAAAGTGCCAAATTCCTTGTTTTGCACATGTAATGAACCTCTGATAGCCCCTTCTTTGAGATAGCACCGCTTAACCCTTTCATCACCCTCTGCTTTCTCGCTGCAATATCTCTTGGCGATTCCCCTCTCTCAAAGAAACATTATGGTTCCCATGGAAGGAAAGGCAACGGATGGGGAATCTGCAGCAGAAACATCTTAATTGGGGACCTCTCCTCCCTCTATCTTCTTCTTCCAGAAATTTTAAGCAATACATAACTTATCTAAATTTAAAGTAACATCTTTCTCCAAGGTCTTTCTTCCCGAAGCTTCTTTTTCTTAGAGCAGTCTTCTGGGTGGGGCTGATGGGAGTTGCATAAAATATCTAGAGGGCAATAGGATGAGGAAGGCTGTCCTTGAAGAAGGGGCCCACTGAAGTTTTGCTACGCATTTGGACGTGATGCGATGTTTGGCCTACAGTGTGGCATACTACAATTTCCCCACAATGTCTTGTTTGCAGGTTGCACCTGTCTGAATGGAGGAACCTGTGTCTCCTACTACCTCTTTTCTGGAATGAGGCGTTGCTTATGCCCCAAAGGATATAGTGGGGACCACTGTGAAATCGGTAGGTGATCACTTCAAAACTTGTTTCCGTTTTTACCCAAAAGCTCACGGCCTTTAGAAATTAAAGAACGCCAATAAATCCTCCAGTTTTCTGGAATAGACAAAGCCACTCTGGACACTCTCCCCCCCCCCCCAAAAAAAGAAACAAGAGATTGGGTTTGAGGGTTGAGAACTGGTATCTGAAAAGGTAGAGTAAAAATCAGCACAGCACTAAGGCGATTGTTCCACCTGCGCAATCATCTCTGCTTGCTTGATGGAATGATGACCCTCTCCCTCCCCGCTCCTGTCCACTGTTTTGTGGGTTCTCCCAACTTTCCAGAGCAGTTTTGGAGGAAGCATGGGGGGGTGCAGGGGGAGGAGAGCAGAAAAATCCCTGTTGTGCTAGTGGGAGCCCTCGAGCTGGCTTCCACTAGTGGAATTGGTTTGCTGGATCTGGCCCTATAGTTCCAGAATCCAGAGGCAGGGTCATGTTAGTCTGTTGCAGCAAAACAGCAAAATCTCATGGGGCCCACTTCATGAAATGTGTGAAGCGCTTCCCTGAATTATAGGTTTATATACATATGGTTAGGGACGCGGGTGGCGCTGTGGGTTAAACCACAGAGCCTAGGGCTTGCCGATCAGAAGGTCAGCGGTTCGAATCCCCGCGACGGGGTAACCCCCCGTTGCTCGGTCCCTGCTCCTGCCAACCTAGCAGATCGAAAGTACGTCAAAGTGCAAGTAGATAAATAGGTACCGCTCCGGCGGGAAGGTAAACGGCGTTTCCGTGCGCTGCTCTGGTTCACCAGAAGCGGATTAGTCATGCTGGCCACATGACCCGGAAGCTGCACGCCGGCTCCCTCGGCCAATAAAGCGAGATGAGCGCCACAACCCCAGAGTTGGCCACGACCGAACCTAATGGTCAGGGGTCCCTTTACCTTTACAAACATATGGTTGGTGGGGTGGGACTGTCAACCCCAAAGTCAGAGAGAAATGAAATGCAGAGAAGTATAGACACGTTGGCAATAACATCCTGGCACTGGCAAGTCAAGATTTAACATGACAAAAATCCTTTGTCTCAATGGATTCCATGGAACCTCTCAGCTGCCAATTCTCCATCAGCACTGACAATCCTCTTGTTTTCTCAACAGATGCGGAAAGTCGCTGCTATACAGACAACGGGGAGGACTACAGAGGGACTTTGTCGGTGAATGAGAAAGGTGACAGGTGCCTGGACTGGGACTCCCCTTCGCTGCAGAGATGGCCTTATCATGATGGCATGGAGAATGCCATGAAACTTGGGTTAGGAAAGCACAACTTCTGCAGGTAAGTGAAATGCAATGGAATGTACTGCTATAGGTCCAGCTGCCCTCTTTTTCATTTCTCCCCCAACCCATAGTTCCACAGTTGCCATGTGCCAATAATGCATCAAATCATCTGGCTGGCATTCCACAAGAACATCAGCTGTGGTGAATGACTAGATCTTCTACTATAACTTGTACTTTTAAGAATGGTTAGGATTTCATTCACATTGTCTTCATTGATGCAAACAGGGATTCCGTATGGTTCTCTTTGGATGACAAGGACAAAGTATAACTAATAGTTGAGCAAAAGAGTTATTTTGCCTGGGGCACCTTGCCCCACCTACTGAAAGCCCTTCTTTAGGCAACTTTGCCAGGTTCAAGGGTTCTGTTCAACGTTGCCAATAGTTATACTTGGTAGTTTGCAGGATTAGTGCCCTGCAGGAACATTTAACTAGCATTAGTAAGAATATAGGTGAACTGGATGACTTCAGCATACTGTACTGTACTGCCGCCCCCTGCAGGTTGGCGTTGGTATTACTGAGGATCATTCTTTTGAAGGCAATATTCCATTGTTTTTCAGAAATCCAGATGGCCGATCCAAGCCGTGGTGTTACGTTAGGAATGGTTATCGAACCTCTTCAACATCCTGCAAAATCGACGTATGCCGAAAAGGTATATTATTACTTAGAGTGCCAGATATTTATAAACTTTTAAAATCAAAGCAAGGTAGACAACAACCAGTTCAGATTCTGTTTCAAGAGGCAGAAAATTCTATGCGTCCGAGAGCTTACTTTGCAAACAGTATCTAATTTGCAAGATGCATTGCAAAGATAGATGGGGAGCAAGGAATGGAGACGGATACCAGGATATTCTTGAATAACCATGAACCCTGCAGGACTCCCCCACCCACAACAAATAAAGAGAGCCAGTTATCTGTGTTATATTAATACATATTGAAGACTACATACACAATCCCAAATAACGATGGATACTATAAAATACCCAACAACTGCAAACCACTGGTAAAAAAAAAGCCATTTGAATGAACAGCCTTTCTCAAGTTCCTGCAAATTGTTAACTGCTTCTAATTCCTTAGGAAAGAGTTCTTTCCTCAGGCTTGTGAAGGCAGCATTTCAGACAGTAGATAGCAGCACAGTCCACAACCAGAAACAAATGTTCCATATAGGAAGATGAAGCAAGTTTGATTAATTTCACCCATCATATAAACTTTCCCAGGAGGAAGCTATTGGATATAATTGGGTCCCTTGATGTTTCCCATAGATTCATGTAATGAGACTCTCATAGTGTGTATTTTTATCTCCACCTACAATCCTTCATCCAAAATGTACCGTATTTTTCTGTGTATTCGACGCCCCCATGTATAAGATGCCCCCTATTTTGGGGGACTCAAATTTAAGAAAATGGGGGAAGATGGCTCAGAGTTGTTCAGCTTTTTTGGGGGGGATTACCCAGGGTTGGTTACCTTTTTGGGGGGATCCATCACGCATCTGTCCCCTCACCAGCAGAAGCAGCCAATCAACACCAGCCATTGGCGCAGCAACCAATAAGAAGCCCTATAGCATTGACAGCCACGGCAGCAACCAATCATACATCCACTCTAAGCACTATCCATGTATAAGATGAGCCCCAGTTTTATGCATAATTTTAAATGAAAATAACCTAGTCTTATACATGGAAAAGTACGGTACTTGGCAGCCGCCGCCAGAATATCTCTGGGGCAACTGGACTGCCAAGAGAGTATCATCCAGTGCACCACGGACTATGGGAAATGCAGTTTTCCAAGGTGGCTGAAAACTCAGTAGGAACATTGGGCACTCTGAAAGTGACGTGTCTCAATACTTTTTCCTAAAAGCTAGCATGGAGCTAAGCTTGCTCAAAACAAAAGCAAAGAGCCTAGGACATTTAGTGCCATATTCCGCTAAATCATTTTGGTCATGGAAGCCAACGCAACCATTTCCACAAGTGCAATGGGGCTTTCCCCCTCCCACACAGCCACATGCTCCAAAGGGTCAGGAAAGCCCCCAAAATGGTGTACAGGGGGAGGAGAAGGAAGGTCATTCCATCTGGCAGTCAGAAATGCTTGAGCTGATGGCTCCTTAGCGTTACATTGAAAGCAGCCCATGGTTTCCAGAGCATCTGATATCTTTACTCAGATGCCCTGCAGAATCGCACGTCCCAAGGATCTGTGCTCACCTCCTTACACTCAGAAGCTCAAGTTTTCAGTCTGAGATGGAAGTGGTGCATGATTCATAATGAAGCCAAGCGCTGCAAGCTGAAGAAATTCCTATTCTGGGCCAGATACTAACTTTGGCAAGTTAAGTAGACAAAAATAATTTGTCAGTGGACAGTTAGCATGTTCAGTAGAAGGATTTTCGCTTAGCCTGTTCCCCAGTGTGCGAGCATTCTATGCAGAGGGAGCATTAAGAATATATATGACCCCTCACCTGCAGTCCTAGCGGTACAAATTCAGGAAGGATGTTTCCATATCATCAGTTGGAAGGTGTTGATCAGACCTTAATCTTGGCCTAGAAATTTGTGAGGGGCAGCCAAACTTTGCAGATCTTCATGGGGATCTTGCTACCCTGAGGACCTAGTCTTTATTGTGAAGAGCTAAAGTGTTATGTACTGAAGTTCTCACCCTGGGCTAGCAGGGGGATACTGTAGATAGTTATGCAAATAAGGGATCGAAAGTGACGTTCAGTGATTGGATAGTTTTAGAAAATTGTTACAGTTATGTTGTACTGGAGCTCTATATAAGCAGGCTGACTGAACCCTTAAGTTCAGTTCTGTTCTGGCCTGTGAATAAACAAGAGCTGTTTGAAGAATTGCTGTGTCGTCTGATATGTTCACCCACAACTTAACATAAAGCTATGTTCGTTCTTCACTGGAGCAAATCCTTGAGGTTCTCTCTTCCTTTTACAGAAGCCACATGTGGCCAGAGGAGCTTCCGCAAGTACTTCAAGATTGTGGGCGGTTACAAAGCACCCATCGAGTCTCAGCCTTGGATAGCAACCATCTACCACACCGATAAGAGAGGAGGTAGTCAGTTTCTTTGTGGCGGTAGCCTCATAGATCCGTGTTGGGTCCTGACAGCGGCACACTGCTTCGGAAGCAAGTAAGTACTTCACAACCAACTTTTTCCTTTTAATTCTCCACTTCGGAATTGTTTTCTAGATAAGAGATCCCTTAGTGAACATCCCATACTGTGAAAGGGAAGGATTTTAGCTCACTGGTACAGCATATGCTCTGTGTGCAAAAGGTCTCATGCTCCTTCTGCAGGTAGGGCTGGGGGAAAACTCCCATGACTAGGAAATGTTGGCAACAGGCCAATGAACTGGATGGGCCAGTGGTCTGGCAGTATAAGACATCTTTCCTGTGTTTCTTCATTTCATTATTAGATTATAAACTATCCTTCATCATAGGATCTCTCTTTTTTTTATAAAATAATTTTTATTAACAAACCAATCAAATCACATTAGTTCCTAATTACAAAACCGAATTTTAAATTTTTGTTGGGGGTACCCACGCTTCGAGCTCAGAAAGGGATCCAATCATCTCTCATTTCTGCTGCTTTGATGTTCACAGTTCTGTCCATTCATCTCTTTGTTGTTTTCCTTTACAAATCATCTTTCAATCTTCTTGTTGTTATCGTATTTTTTCCCTTTCTTTATAACCTCTGAAAGTCTCCACAAGCGAGTTGAAACAAACGTTGTTATAGCCCTGTGTGGATTTTCACATTAATCCAAAAGTCATATTCAGACGGCAGACGCCATTTCAACACTTCCATAGAAAACAGTCTTAGCGTCTGCTCATTAGCTTTCACAGACCTGTTGCTCCAACATCAATCTTTTCAGGGGGTTCTGCCAGATCAAACACAGAGTCAAGTATGATAACAAAGCCGTGGCTTCCTCCCCCTTTTGACCGTCGATCCTGCAACAGAGCCTGTCTTGTCATGGCGGTTCTCTTTTACAACTGCTTCGTCCCAAAAGCCTTCCATTTCCTTTCCAGATCTTCCACAAAGCAAAGCCTTTAGTTAATGATTCATTTCCACACAGTTCATTATTATCTCACTTATCATCAGTTATTGCAACGGTTCTTCTTAGGGGGGGTTGTTCTTCATCATAGGATCTCAGGGCAGTTCACAGAATAAAATACGGGGGGGGGGGACCAAGTAAATAAGTAAAACAAAACAGCAAAACAATACCTCCTCATTTCCACAGACACATTTAAAAGGCTGTAGAATATTAATCAGTCAAAGGCCTGATTGAAGAGGAATATTTTCGCCTGGCGCCTAAAAATATATAATGAAGGTCCCAGAGCTTTTTCTTTAGTGACAAAATTGACGAATAGCCCAGTCTTAGGATTGTTGAGGGTTAAGTCTCACTAAAATCAGTGAAGGTTCCTGTCAAGTAAGTGGGTTTAGTATTACAGCCCATGGTTGTAGTCCTACACATACTTAGCTTATTGAATTCTGCATAGGTTTGCACTGTAAGTGTGTAAGTTTCAGCTGCACTTGCAGAAGTTATCTTTCTCCTAGATCAATTGCTGAACTTACATATATTTTCTTTTGGCGTTTATATTGTAACAGCCACTTGATAGCTATAAATAATATTTGCCTGTCGGTGCAGTACTTGTAAGTACTTGTGTGTGGCTCCTTTAAAAAAGTTGGTGACCTTTTCAGTTACCAAAGACTCCCCCCCCCCCCCCAGTTAATAAAACCTATCTGTATGCTAAATTTCACAATCCTATACAAACACATTTTAACTCTCACCCACAAATGTTGTTCTAGACCAGAAGGAATGTACCCATATGATACAATAAGGCTTATGATACACAAGGAGTAAGCGCCATTGAATTCAATAGGACTTACCTCTGAGTGGACATGGTTAGGGGCAGCCTGTGCATGTTAGTAAAAGAAGACCCATCGAGTCCTAAAATTGTTATAGGATTGCATCCTAAATACTGGAAAACCTATTTAAAAAAACCAACCAAAGTTTAGAAAGTGATTTATTAAATTGTAGGATATTGCTACTGCTATATCTTTGTTTACCAAGAAATATATGAAATTAATATATTTGAAGAAGTGCTTTAGAACTTTTTGGAAAGCAATCCTTTTCTATAAAAAAAAAGTTTTGTGTTGATATATGCTCATGTTTTGCTGGTTCAAAATGAGATGTTCTCAAATGTCTGTATTTTTAAGACAGAATAGCTACATGTGCTAGGAGACATGTTAAATTTTAAGTCCCACCATTCACCTAGCAAAACAATGAGGCTCAAACAAGAAAGAGGACTGCAAAATTATGTTTCTGTTCTCTTGTGACCGAGACAGAAAACTGAGCAAATGTGAAAGTTAGAGTGGGGAGATATGCCCCTGTATAAATTTTCCCCTAATCAATGTTTTCATTGCTTTTCAGCACTCCTGACCTATCCAAGCTGACTGTTATTCTCGGGAAGTCTGAATTGTACACTGATGATACGAAGGAGCAAAAATTTAATGTTGATAGGGTTGTCATTCATGAGGACTACACACTTCAAAGAACGGATTATAATAATGATATTGGTAAGTGACATCTCCAGCTTCCCTTCTGAATCATAGACATGTTTCACCTGAGCATGCAAAAAACCGAGGAACAAATGTTTCACCCAAGTACTGCTGCAAAATAAGGGCCCATTTTAGTGAGAAATGGTGTAGGTTGTGTACTTCTAAAGCACATTTGAAGCCCGTTCTTTTTGTCAAAGAATTCTAGTCATTGTAGTTTACCTCTCACAGAGTTACCTGCAGCGCCCAGAATCCTTTGAGGGAACGAATGTGCTTCAAATGTGCCTTAAAATTATAGTGTGTTACACAGCCTTACAGCAAAACACCTCGTATTTCATTGTCATGACATCATCCCCATATTTGCAAACGATACGAAAATGACTGCAGATGATAGCTTAGGAAAATATACAGGTACGAATGAGCTATCTTCTTTCACCAAACATTTGGGGGTGGGTGTTCTATCAGATCATTGTAAGGAAAATACTTTGAGAGTCAAGGAAGATGATTTCTTCTCTCACTGAGGCAGTCAAGAGATTAATTTTTCCTGGGTTGGCGGTGTTTCACTATCTCTAGGCAGTCCTGGAAATGCTTACGATGTGTTTCTATGGTTAAACAAATTATTTTTATTTATCATTTATCAAACCTATTAGTTGCTTGTCACCCAAAGGTCTTCAAGCGACTTACAGCAAAGAAAAATATACAATACATAAGGTGGGGGGAATGGGGAATCATATAATATGTTATATGAAATATTAATGTAACATTTATGGAAAAAACAAACAAGTAAACCATACCAGCCATATAAATAATAGCAGATTAAAACGGGTGAGGGGAGATGCCCATTAACAAAGTACATATACTTTTTATTATTCTCATTAAAATACTCTATTAATTACTGAACATAATAAAAGAGTCCATTTTAAGCTACATTTTTTTATCAGATCTCGCAATCTAAATTATCAGCGGGAGGTAGGGATTATGCATACAAGTAAATGCAGTAACATGACTACAGTGGTACCTCGGGTTACATACGCTTCAGGTTACATATGCTTCAGGTTACAGACTCCGCTAACCCAGAAATATTACCTTGGGTTAAGAACTTTGCTTCAGTATGAGAAGAGAAATCGTGCTCCGGCAGCGTGGCAGCAGGAGGCCCCATTAGCTAAAGTGGTGCTTCAGGTTAAGAACAGTTTCAGGTTAAGTACGGACCTCCGGAACGAATTAAGTACATAACCAGAGGTACCACTGTACAATCATATGTCGTCTGGAAAAGCAGCTGGAACGGATAGCTCTAAATATATATTATTCTGTTTCTAAAGAGTTTAGTGTTAGAAGGTTCCGTGTATGACATGCATTCTTTATTCCTTCTTTAGCCCTAATGAGGATCCGATCATCTTCCGGCCAGTGTGCACAGGAGTCAGACACTGTGAAGACCATCTGCTTGCCATCGCAAGACTCGTTTCCAGACAATTTCCAGTGTGAAGTTTCTGGCTATGGAAGAGAAAACAAGAGTAAGTTGACAGACACCTTTCCCATTCCTAATGCAGGTTGTGTGGCATGTGTTACCGGCACTATCAGGAACCATTAGCCTTCCAGAAGCTGCTAGACTACAACTCCCATCATTTCTGACTGCTGGTCATGCTGGCTGGGACTGCTGGGAGTTGTGAATTCAACAACACCTTGAGTATCACAAATTCCCCATCCTTGCTTTTGAACCTTGCTAGAGGCCAGTCGCTAAGGTTGCATGTGCTCTGTGCGCCCAGCTCCAGTACAGCTCTGGTTCTGCAACAAACAAACTCATAGTCTACATACAAAAGTCTTTGTGCCATTTGGTTTGCATAATTTAGTTTGTTCGCCGTTATCCGCTAGACTGAAGAAGAGGAATTTGGGTTTCGTGTATGAGGCTATTCAGTGAGGCAGGCTCTGACGTTGCTTTGTTTTTGCAATGAAAAAGATCGCTTTAGACTTCACTGAGAAAAAGAACCCAACCAACTGTCATGTTTCTGGTTTGCAGCTGACATTTACTTCGCAAGGATCCTGAAATCAACCAATGTCAACCTGATACCCCAGTCTTTGTGTAAGAAATACTATAAGGACAGGGTGACGGACAACATGTTCTGTGCTGGAGATCAAACGTGGCAGACAGATTCATGCAAAGTAAGTTTCCTTGTGCACAATGTCTACATTTTATGTCAAAAGAATGGTCTGGCTAATGCAGTCCCTTTCTCTAGAATAGGCCTAATGCACATCTGAAGATTTAGAATTTAATATCCCACTACACAAAACATCTTGCAAGATACATGTTTGCAGCAAGGAACACAATCCTATTTATTCCGCTAGGCTAAGCCAGCTCCAATTTGGAATCTGTTGAAAGAGGATTCCTTGATGCTAGAGCAGCTTTTCGCAAAGTTGGGTCCCCAAAGGTTGCTGGACTACAACTCCTATCACCCCCGACCACAGGTCCTGGCACTTAGGAGTTGTAGTCCAACAACAACTAGGGACCCAAATTTGAGAATGGCTGTGCTAGAGCTTAAGCTGTCATGGCCACTTTCTTTCCTTTGTAGCCTTATGAGGCTTTGCCCTCGGGTGGGAAAAAATATTGTGCCCGGGAAAGGGAGTGGGAGTCAAACAGACACTCAAGGAATAGTTTTCGGAGAAAAAGCTTTATTTCTACCATCCATGAACTGGTAGAAGGAGCAAGTGTGATAGTTCACAAACAAGCACGGGTTCACAGTCATTTGCACAGAGCATATATTCCCCTTCCAGTTCCCTCCCCTTTCTCCTCCTCTTCAAGAGTCCTGCCCCATGTTGAGTTCCCCTGAGCATGAACAGAAAGCTCCTATTTTTGGGAAAGGGGGGTGAGAAGCCAAGGGGGGTCGCCAAGCCTTGTGGTTCAGCATGTTCAAAGATGTTGCAACTGAATGAGATAAAAGTCAGGTCTCAGGCCTGCTTTGAACAGAGCCTATTCATTAGCTTTTTGAAGCCTTCTGGTGCTGATAAAAGAATAACATTTTTCCTATGCATCTTGTGAGAAAAGCAGAGAAGAGCAGAGAAAAGCTGTTTTGGAGTTTTAGAAGAGAGAAAGGGAATTTTGGACAGTTTTGAGGCCTGGGGTGATTATTGAGGGGGGGGGTGACTTCGGGCCTAGGTGGGGTCACCTGTCCTCACCTCCTTCACCTTGTGTCCCATTACTGTAAAATAGGGCACTAGTGCAACCACAGTGGTAGCAGAATTCCTGAGATGTGCTTTTCCCTAGCTTTCTTCTCTTTAAATGCTCACCATCATTCTTATGTTCCATCAGGGAGATTCTGGCGGTCCCCTGGTTTGTGCAAGCAGCGACAGGATGGTGCTATATGGTATCGTCAGCTGGGGCGACGGCTGTGCTGACAAAGAGAGGCCTGGCGTCTACACAAGAGTCACAAATTACCTTCGCTGGATCGAAACCCACATGAACGGCATCCATTTCAAAAGTTCCTACCTTCCTAAATGAAGATATGACAGCTTTCCATGGAGTATGGAGTATGGAGCATGGAGCATGGAAACTAAGTCAAAGAACGTTACAGGCCATTGAAACACCAAGCCTTGTTTTGGAGTTGACGGTTCTTTGGTGGCTATCTTGACTGGACTTAACATCAGGTTAATTCGTTAACATTTGTGTCGCTGTGTCTGAAGCAGAAACCATCACTGAACAACACACATTCTCCCATGGTGGAGTGGAGAAGCTCTTCAATATTTAACATTTAAATAAGGAGTGTTTTAGCCAGCCAATGTAATATACATGTGGCCTTATCTACAGGAGTCAGTATTTCACTTTGTCAGTAGGTGCGGGGTTTTTTTGGTAAGGTTTTTAAATTGGCTACTAATGTAATATTAGTGCCATCCAGAAAAACAACTCAGACTCATTTAATTGAATGCGATCTCAGGATAACTGTGCTGCCCTATTGATTCATTATGTGCGTTTAGATCTCTGTGGGGTGTAGTGTCAGGGTTTGTTTGTTTTTTAAAGACAAAAAACATGTCTAAGATACAAGCCTTTGTCATAACCTGAATTTGGAAACCGTTTGAGGGCAATCAAAAGCAAAAATCCCAGGGACTTCCTGGGTGTCATCACCCCGGTCAAGAAACAGTGAGTTGTCCACAGGAACAGCCAAATATATTTTCCCATTCCCAAATGGCTCTGAATGTGCCATAATATCTGAGAAGTTTGTAATGTCTCAAAGGTTGCTGGGGGCATCATGTGCAGATTCCAGAACTGCTTCTTTGGTGTCCCTAAGATATTGTCACAATTTGGATTGCTTCTACAATGAAGCTGGTCCAGTTTGTTCAAGGCAGCTTAGCAACTCAGAAGAGTAGGCAATTGAGCATATGTCTGTTGACCTCACAATGATGCCTTGCTGAGTCACAGAGCAGATTGTTGCTTGAGAAGTAGCTTGCAGGGAGGCTCATGAGGCCATCACCACTTTGCTGGAGCTCAGGAGGTCTGGGGCTCCACAGTGCCTAAATGGGTATCTGCGTGAGAAACTCATGTATGAGGTATCGCCATAATTTGGGCTTCGTGATGGAAGAAAGGCAGGATTAAATGTAAGGTGAAGGGGTCGGGAGTTAAAATATAAACCATTTCTGGCATTTTCTACCAACTTTGAAAAACAGCAATGGGGAAAGTATTTTGAAAAGAAGCAGAATTGAAACAAAAAAATCGTATTGATTTTTAATTCCAAGGTTTAGCTGTCTCTGGCTTCGTACAACTTGTCATTCCACAGGTGCTGTTGAGATAAGAGCGCTGCATTTTTAACAGGGTTCACTAATGAATATTATTTCAACAAAAACCATCAGTACCTTCCTCCATGTTGGCATTTGCACTCCCAGTTGCTGCCCAAAGGACTGGTTCTACCATATTTGTCTGACTCTCTGTGTAGATTGCTGACAGTATTTCAGCTGCCAATTTTTTTAATGATAAGGTGACTAAATTCTGTTATGCACCTTAAAAAACAGCAAAAACCCCTGTTGTGGTATAATACATGGTGTGTGCAAGGCAAAACTCGAGCATAGCTAGACCAGAGAGGTCATTTTTGACATTGCAGAATTTGACAGACCCTGAACTGGGTCAAGCTTCAGCGGATGAGGGTGTCCCTCATAATGAAGAACATTTGTAAATCTTGCTTGCCATTTTTACCTGTTTTCCTAAGACTCCTGGCAGTAGCTTTTTTATATAATTAAGAAAGAATGTTTTATTCAATGAATATGTAATATATGTGCTGGGGCTGGAACCCCAATTGTTATTTAATAATCTTACTTTAACTTATTGTTTATAAATCGTGGATTTTAAACACCAATAAAATATTACTGCTGTGTGGACTTCCTTTTGTTTCTATTACTTTCGGGGGGGGGGCAAACCAATAAGCTGGTCCTTTTCAACAAGGTTGGGGAGCCTTTGGCCCATGGGCTGAATCCAGCCTACCAGGCCTCCCATATGGCCCACAAAGCCATTTTGGGCAAGCCACGCCCATCTGATGTCAAATATGATGTCAGGTGTTTGGCCGTTGGTCAAAAGGGGCTTTGCAAGCACCAATCAGCTGGGCCTGCAAAGCCCCTGTGAGAAGTGCTTCCCAAGCGCCTAGGAACCAGCTGGTTCCCAGGTGCTTGAGACGTGCTGAGCACAGGGCTTGCAAAGCACTTTGCACTGCACTTCCCAAACACTTGACAGTCGGGTCCCCATGCCTGTCTTGCAAGCTGTACTGCCGATTATACAGTCATGTTACATAGCTGTCAACTTACAGATTTGAAAATAAGGGACCAGCAGTCAAAATAAGGGATTTTCCAAGCACAGATATGTTCAACTTCTGAGCCCCTCCAAGCCAAAGGCAGAAAGCCCAGCCAGCAGCCAAACAAAGCCTCAAGCGGTGGATCCCACAGCGCAGCAACCCGGCAAAGGGGATGCAGCAAGGAAAACCACCGTCACCTCTCTGCTGGGAAGCGCTGAGCAAAGGCGAGTCCCCAGGCAACGCGGCCGATTTGATTGGCACAAGGCATGCAAGCTCCACCCCCCAGTCATTCTTAGACTCCTTATTGGGTGAGCAACGCAGCCAAGCAACACAGTTGGAGCCTCCCTCCTCCCTGGCCAGCAGGGAGGGAGGGAGACGAGCTGCTTCCTTTGAAACCCGGGAAATTTAAGGGACATCATCAATAAGGGACAGCAGCGGGACACAGCGCTGGGATAAGGGACTTTTCCACCAAATAAGGGACGGTTGACAGCTATGCCATGTTAACAGATTGGAATAGATTCCACTGGCCTGCTTGACTGCATCCTTTAAGTTTACGGATATCTGCAACCACCATGAGCTCAGTTTCAACCAGCCTTGGACATCCAACTATGCTGTAAGGAGGGACAACAAGAAGGCTAACAGGGTTGATGCTCCCAGCCTACGGCCGTTGAAACCTCACCATCACAAATAAATATTTGATGCATCTTTTTCCAATCTTCCGGTTTAGCTTCACACAGCCATGAAACTGGATGGGTGACCTTTTACCAGTCACAGTCTCTCAATCTACCTCACCAGGGCCATTGTGAGGAGAACATTGTTCACCACCTTGAGCTCCTTAAGAGAAAAAGTGTATGTAGGGTTGCCATATTTTGAAGAGCAAAAAAGAGGACGCCATGATGAGACTCATTTTAAATACTCCTACTATATGTAGGCTATAGAAGCTGTGATATATTGCTGAGGATGGGGGCAGGAGAAGTGAAGAAAGCAAGTCTTCAACCACAAGTTATGTCTCTGTCTCATCCAGAAAGCATAGCTAGGGACATTTTGGCAAATGTTTAAAAATTCAGCTGGACAGAAATTTCACCCTTGAAAAAGGACGTGTCCTGGGGGGAGCGGAGACACATGTCCAAACTGGCTGTGGCTGCTGCTACTGTACAGACACTCCCTGTCTTCACTAAACAAAACATATAGCCTGATGACTGTGACATTCAGGAGTGACATTAAATAACAGACCACAATTATAAACCCAGCAGTAGTTGTATTTTTGTATACCAGTAGATGGAGCTAGTGTGTCTCTTGTGGTTGTGAACAGCCCACAAAGAATTTACTGTGAAAGCAGACATAAATCAGAGCTAGATAAAGAGTTCATATCTGTGCTTTATCATTTGATCTCCTTTAGCTTTATAGTTACCCACTATGGATGTATTTATGGCGTTTTTGAGCACGTTCTCTAGAGAAAGCCGGTTTCCTCTTTAACAGCAATGCTAAACAGCGCAGATAATTGTGTACCCAGGCACAGCCCCCCCCCCCCTTTTTGGGAGCCAGACTTTGGGATCAGTCAGACAACATCTTTTGGGATTAAAATGGCCACAACTTTATTGAATTTCAGATGCAGGAAACCTTGGCATAGGCATTGGGTGTGTCTCCCTCTCAGGCCCCTGCTGGGGGTTTGAGGCAAGTCAGGGTCGAAAGGGAATATGGGGCCACTGCGGAACAGTGTGGCTTCAGGAAGACGGGGAAGCCACAAAAGCCACCCACCACTGGACCCAGTGAGCGGCCATTTTAATGCTAGCTAAATTTGGGCATTATTTAGCTGTTAATCCACTTTCCTCTCATTTAAATTGGACAGAAACAGTCTGCATTCGCACATATTATAATTAGTATATGTGCTGATTAGTATATGCGCTGGCAGACAATGTGCCAAGACCAAGTCCAAAATCTGAGGGTTGATCAGCATCCACAAAGTCCACAGTCTGAGATCCAATGTTGAAGGCTGAAAGTCAGGAAACGAGGTTCAGAGTCGATCCAAGTCTGAAGTCAGGATGCAGCCCAGTGTCACACCTGAAGTAGAAACTGTTAAAGGCCCAAGGCAAGGTCCTGTCAGTTTGCCTTTCTTAGTATAGAAAGTATTGATCTGATGTGTAGAGATCTTTCCTATTCTAGTTAATTCAAGAGGGTTCTGGAAGCTTCTCTGTGTGAAAGAAACAAGCAGAAGGTTCATGATGTTTGGGTTATTCCTTCTGAGAAGCTGAGTACAGCTGGTTTAAACTGGTTATCTCTTCTGTCAAGGTCATGCTGACTATAATAAGAGGCCAGAAGGAGCCTGGGCTTCCCTTTGTCTTTCTCTTTTCCTTCTGGTGTGGTGTACATGGCACACTTATTGTTAAGGTTTTAGGCTTATTATAAGCTTAAGTCTGCTGCAACTGGATTTCTTATGGACAGTGCCAACCAAATATATTTCATTTGCAACCATTATGTTCATTTGCCTTCAGTAGCAGTAAAGCAGTGCTGGATGAAATATAATTGCCTCATGTAATAATGTAGTCACTGCTGTTCCACAGCATTTGAGATTTTCATTTATATACATCCATTCGAAATAAGATGGGTTTATGAAGCATTCTATATCCACCCACCACGCTGATGAAGAATTCTACAAAACAGTAGTCAATATCCAGAATTACTGTTCAGTGTTGGACATCACTGTTGAACACACAAAGCTTCACAGCTT